GCTGTTGAGTGCAAAAATAATCAGAACAAAATAATCAACTGGGGAACTCTTTTTCTTAAATTTGTTGGGGTGATGCTGGTTCACAGGGTCATGTAGGTTTCCGGTGCCCATTCCTGCGGTGCCTCCCCTGTATATTGGGCTGTGTGCCCTCCACCCAAAGCCACAGCGTCTCCTGCGACCATGTATTTGACCTTTTACCCTTCATTACCCCTCCTTCCTCTGGCATCCGCCTTATTGTCTATGTCCAGGATTTTAGGTTTTACATCCCACACAGGCGTGAAATCATGTGGTTCTTGGCTTTTTCTGACATTTCACTGAGTTGATATTCTCAGCGTCCACGCCTATTGTCACAAGTGGCAGTGTTTCACTTCTTCTTATGGCCGAGTAGGATCCTATTGTATATATGCACCACGTTCTCCTTATTCCATCCTCTACTGAGGGACAGTTTGGTTGTCTCCATGTCTTGGCCACCGTGAATAATGCTGCAATGAACACAAGGGTGCATACAAGGGGGCGGGGCCCCCCAAACCAGAATTTATTTATAAAAACTGCGTATTTACTCTTACATGTTTAAACTTCAGTCACCTTCAAAGTCCTCTCCATTGGATGCAATACACCAATCGAGGCCTCCCCCCCCCTCCCTGGCTCAAAACAGTGTTTGAACTCGTCAGTGTCGATGCCTTCTCGTGCTTCTGCCCTTTTTCGTTTCACCTCCTCCACGTCAGCAAAATGTTTCCCTCTGAGGATGTTTTTCACCCAGGAAACAAACGAAAGAAAAGTCGCTTGGGGTGAGATCCGGTGAAGAGGGAGGGACCGCTGAACACGCAGCGCCGCCTGGGCAGCTGCGCTCGTCAATCGGCCGTCATGCAATGGGCAAACGTGTAGTCTCTAAAAAAGAATTCACTGAGGCCGAACGCAGCCTCTCACACCACCACCAGCGGGCGTGCGGACCCAGATGGGCTCCTAGAACCCTCACCGAGGCGGGGGAGCCTGGACTCCAAGGGGCCCGCCCTCCAGGAGGAAATTCTGGGGTTTCTTTGGGTCCACCCTGGTATATCTTGGCAAATAAATGCGTTCGCGTTTTCCAGGTAGCTACCCAGGAGGGGGGATGCGGGGCACATGGCAGCCCGAGTCTGCCTTTCCCAAAGGGCCTCCACTCCGGTTTCCGCCCTGGCCGCGCCGGCCTGCAGTCCCGCCGGCAGTGAACGGGGGCCCCTCCTGTCCACAGCCTGTCCAGCCCGCATGATTGCCCGACGGGGGAATTCTTTAAACACGACTTGTTAATGTTAAAATTCAACGGCAGCCCCCAAAATGGGAGAGACGCTCTGACAACCAGGTTCGTCACATGAACAGAAAGAGTTTGTTCCGAGGCGGGCGGCCGTCCTCGCCGCGCGTTTACCGATCAAAGGGTGACGCCGTAGGACAGCGATGAGGTGGAGGAGGCAGGGAGGACCCCCGAGCCGTGTCCGTGGAGGGGATGGAATGCCAGGAACAAGGCCCGAGGGGGCCTCGGCAGGGGCCTGGATGGCTCGTCCACTGAGACGGGGGGCAAATGCTGGGGTGGGGGGTTCAAGTGGGGAGGACGGGGACCGTCTCTCTGACGGGGCTCCTGTCCCCGCGGTGAGTTAGGGAGCAGCAGGGCATGGCGAGCTGGAGAGAGAAGACAGACGCGCAGGCGGCGTTGAGGGGGAGCCCAAAGCCCCGGGGTGTCGAGCCTCCCTCCCTGTGACCGCGACGGCGGGGTTCCCTCCGCCACGCCATCCGGGGCCCTGCCAGGCGGATCGGCCTCAGGGAGGAGCGTGGGGGCCGGCTGGCACCGGGGGGCGGTCTCCCGGTGCCCGAGGTCCGCAAGGGCGCCCCGACATTGGGGCAGTGAGGGGGCATCGGAAAGAGCTGCACGAGGACCCGAGGGGCTTACGCGTGTCTGAGGGGAGTTTTCCAGGGGCTGGGATCCAGGAACAGCAGGCAGCCCTGTCGAGCCCCGGCCGGTGGGGCTCCGTGGACCGAGCGCCGGCCTGCGAACCAGAGGGTCGGCGGTTCAACTCCCAGGCAGGGCACAGGCCCGGGCTGCGGGCCAGGTCCCCAGCAGGGGGCGCGCGAGAGGCAGCCGCGCACGGATGTTTCTCTCCCTCTCCTCCTCCCTCCCCCCTCTCTAAGAATGAATAAAATATTAAAAAAAAAAAAAAAAAGGCAGCAGCAGCCCTGCCCTAACCTCAGGCAGCCCCTCACCCTGCCCCGCCCCCGATCTCACCCGCGCCTCCCGCCCCCAGACTTTCTCACAAGGGCGGGCGGCACCTCGCGCTGAGGTGCCGCCGGCTGTGCTGGGATCCGAGGAAGTGCTCCATTTCCCACAGCCTTGTGTAAACTTCCTGTCCTGACACAGCCCAGGAGCATTGGGGCCACAGGCTGGGTGCCTTTTCCTAGATTCTAAACTTAGAGTCTCCCTGTTCCCCAAATATGGGCTCTGACCCAGAGCCTGAGGGCGACCGGTCACTGCGCCCCGGCCTTGGGCCAGTGTGACCGGATGGGCGGGCAGCTCGGCGGGAACGGCAGGGGGGGGGGCAGCGGCAGGCGCTGGGCGCCCGGCACGTGCGGCCTCCGTGGCAGAAGCGTCCCCTTCACGCTGGCGGAGGCAGGAGGCTCGCCCGGGGCTCCGCGCTGGGGACACCTTCCCCTCGAGAGGCTGCGCCAGTCAGGCTGTAGCAGATCGATTCATGTGCGTTAACAGTCCGCGGGGGACGTTGTTATCTAGACACATTGACAGATTTTTGAGTTCCTTAGCATAAAATTACCAGATCTTATATCTCAATAACTTAAATCATATTTACTTCTGGAGGGAAAATCAAGAGCTGTACCATCAGAAACTCACCAGTTCAACATAAACTACCTTGAAATGCCCAGTGTTTCTGGGTTTGGAAACAGTAGCGTGGAAAGGTGGACATCTGTTCAGGTGCACTGAGGGCCGGGCGCCGAGGGCCGGGCGCTATGGGCAGGTGTGCCGAGGGCAGGTGCGTTGAGGGCCGGGCGCCGAGGGAGGTGTCAGAGTTAATCTCAGAGCAGCTGTCAGTGTGTGGGTTTTGATTTGCATATCATTGCGGTTGATTGTCCTGTTTCCACTCCTTTGTTTTACAATCCGCAGTGATTTAGTCCTAACAGAGATTCCGGAGGCAGGTCTGTGCGTGCGCTGGGATTTTGTTCAGGTCACCAGTGACCACGGCTCTTCTGCGTCTGGGGGAACGCGACACGAGAGAGAGAGGTCCCAGCACGAAGCTGCCGTTGTGCTGCCTGCTCTGGTCGGGGCAGGGAGTGGGAAGGGGGCCGGGGACCTTCATCCCACCACGGTGACGTCACCGACTCAGGCCTGCGTCTCGTTTGGAGATGCTGACCGATGAAGGAGCCCGATGGGCGCTCGGGCGGTCTGCGCACTCGCAGGCCGGGCCTGGCCGGCCTGGAGCCCGGTGGCCTCTCAGGGGCCAGGGAACGACCATGACACGTCGGCAGGGGCCTTGGCGGGTGTGCCAGGCGGGCACAGGAGAGGGTCCGGGAGGCGGGGACCGGCCGCGGCCCTGTGGCCGCTGGGTGGGTGTGGGACTGGGGAGGAGGCGCAGAGGGTTGGGGCTCTGCGGCCTGCACCGCGGGGCAATGCCCGCTCATCGTGGCAACAGCGCCCGCCACCGCCGTGGCGGCAGCGCGCTTGGTCCGCCGGCGCCGGGCTCAACCCACTCGGAGTAACGAGGCCGGGGCTCAGCCGGCGGGCAGCTGTCAGTCCACGCACGCCCCTCATCCGCCCCCGACCTGCGTGCGCCGGTGGATCTCCCCTCGGCCAGGACACTCCCCAGCCTTTTATCGCTTGGGACACTCGCTCTCAGTTGAGCCACGTGTCCACGTGAAGCAGCTCAAGGGTGGGCTCAGGCGTCCTCTCCCCTCTCAGGGGTTGGCATTGAGCAAAGCCTCCGTGGGCCCCCGGCCAGCTCTGCGGGCGACACTGTGGTGGTCATCGGCGCCTGCCCACTGCGGGTGCGCTCGGGGGGACCTGGCAGGCGCGAGCTCCGTGACAGCGCTCCGTCATCCCGCACAGCGTGGGCCCCGCGGCAGCCGCAGACCAAAGCTCGCTCCCCAGGCAGGACGGGCTGGGGCGGCAGGCGGGCGCGGAGGGGCCCCGCCTTGGGAGAAGCGGCCTTCCCGGGCTCTGCTCTCCTCCGCGGAGCAGCACCAGCTTCTGCCTCATTGGGCTCTTGGGGGGCCCCAGCGGCTGTCGCGCCCCCAGCCCCCAAGAGAGGCTGTCAGCCGGTGAACACACAGCCCTGCAGCCTCCACAGGCCCCACAGCGGCACGTCTGACTGTCGGAAAGGGCAGGGGCAGGGGCCCAGGAGGCCAGCATGGGGACGGTCCTGTCACCGCACCTCGGGGCGGGCGTGCCGTTTCCTCCAGCTCGGCCACGGCCCACGTACCACGCTGGGCCACTGCCGGCTGCAGGCAGCTGGGGCTGGACCAGAGCTGCTGGGTGTTGGGGTCGGGGGGGTGGCAGGGTATTTAACTCAAAGGTGGCCCAGGACAACAGGTCCCTGACCGACGGAATCAGCCTCGGTGGGAGCCCAGGTGCCACCTGAGAACTTGCCCAGTGTCCAGGGGAGACCTGCACCCAGGCGGGGCCATCGCCCCCGGGGGACAGGGCCAGCCAGGCACCAGGCAGCAGGCGGGCTTCACCTCGGCCGCCCCGCCGGGGGACGCCAGAGCCACGAGAGGCCCAAGGGAAGTGGGGACGAGGGGCGGGCGGCCTCCAGTGGCCAGACACTTGGCTACAGAGAGGGAACAACTTTCGGTTTCCTCCGATACAGCCGCTGTGTGAGGACACACAAAAGCAAGCAAGCAGGAAGGAAAACAAGTTCGAAAGTAAGAACGTCCTTAGTATCTTGTCAAAGAAGAACCTCAAGTACACATAGTCCTGAAATAAAAACGTACGTGGATTTGAGGAAATATCTTTTAAGTTCTACAAACTTTGTAACTTTTATTGTAAAGATTCAAACTCAGAGAAACACCAGGAAAACTGGAAACGTCCTTTCACAGAGGGCTGTGAGCGCCTTCTCAGTGCCGGTTACTCCTGTTGGCGTCCGCTGCGGAGAGGTGCGCTGGCCGCGCCCTCACCGCGGCCTCCACTTTATGTCCTTCACGCCGTGGAAGTGTCTTTTCAGAGCAGTGCTATCTGCCCACGGAGAGTTCAAACAGGAATCGTCGTCCTCTTCTTCCAGCCTCTGGAAATACGTGTTTTGTTCAAGAAAGCATTTCCGGGAACCGCTTTGCAACATAGAGAGGCTGAAGAATGAGCCTGTGACACCCGCGCCGCCCCGAACCAGGACCCCTCCGACGCTGACGCCCTGGAAAGCCCCTCGGTCCCGCGGAACTGCCCCAGATGGCCCGGCGGCCCCCCTACCTTGAGCTCCTCCTGCCGCCTGTGGTAGTGCAGCATCAGCTGCTTCTGCTCCTCGCTGCTAATGATGGGCTCCCGGGCTGGGGCTCCCTGTCCCCTCTGCAGAGGTAGGGGGCACGCTGTGGACGGCGCATTCTCTCGGGACAGCCCCGCAGGTGGCCGTGGCGGTGGTGGTGGCACAGCACCGCCCTCTGCCAGCTGCTGCGATGAACAGGCTGCCCGCCGCCACCCGTCCAAGCGGGTCGCCGGCCAGGGCCCTCGGCAGCCCCGTCTCTGGCCCTCGTGGTAGCCGGAGGCTAGAGGCTGCGTCCACGTCGGCCACCGCGGGTCTGAGGGAAGGGACGGGTCACTGTGGAGACCCCCTCCCCAAACCAGAGCGGGCGGTCCCGGAGAGCTCACAGCCAGAGCAGTCTTGCGGACCCGGCCGCGCAGGCCGCCGGACCCACCTGCGGACGGTCGGCCTCGGGAAAACCCGAGGTCGGTGCTGGGGGCTGGGTGATCCATTTCAAGACACATTTTTATTCGCATGCAGCCCCACTTTTTAATGTTATAATTAACATGGCCCCACCCCATTAAAACAAATCCCCTGTATTGTCAATTGTTCCCCATTTTCTTCCAATCTGAGTTGGACATAAGAGGAAAGTTTTCCTTTAAGTCCAGACCAATAGCATTTTAAAGTGTTTGTACAGGAGTTTAAACCTTTCAGATTTACTGTAAATTTTTTTTTATCTGTGAAGGTAAACAGAAAATAGTGGCATGTTAAAGTACTTACTTGCTGGATCTTGACGATTATTTTGGTCTTTTCATTTCTGCCCACATAGTCTGAAAGCTTCTTCGTTCTCCTTAACTCCTTGGCGGCCCACCACAGCTGCGCCTCCGACTCCGCGATGACACTCAGTGCCGCCTGGGGACGCCGAACAGCTGGCACTGGGGGGACCCGCTTCCGCCCGGCCGGCCCTCCCCGCCCCGCCCCCACGGGCGCCACTGGCCCCGCCCCCAGAGCGTCCCCGCCCCCTCTCCTGGGCCTCGGCTCCGCCCCACTCAGAGAACTGCCTGCTCCGGGAAGCGTCCTATCCGCCGCCGCCCCCTGCACAGCAGAAGGTCCCCGTGAGGTGGAGGTGAGGGCGCTGCCAGGGAGACACCGGGACCCCCGGAGTGTAACGCAGGCGGAGCGGGGCGGTCTGCTTGCCTCCGTCAGAGGGGGCGCGGAGACGCAGGCGCTGTGCCGCCTGGACAGAAGCAAGACCCACGGGGGGCGGGGGGGAGGGTGGGCAGGGCGGGACGGCAGCAGGTGACGGGAAGCAAGAGGTGAGGCCAGAACACAAGATCCCGGGCAAGGGGACCAGTCCATCCGGGCAGACACAGGCCCAGACCGGGGTTCCGGCTTCCCGGGGCCCCCACATGGCAGCGCTGGCAGCCCCCGCCGAGCCAGGCAGCCCCCTTTCCCTCAGCCGCTGTGGCCCCACTCGCAGCTCAGGGCTCCACGCTGACGCTCAGCGCAGGGAGACGGAAACCTGCGTCCGAAACAGAAACTACCCCTGGAAGGGGGGGCCCAAGGTGCGGGGCTTTCCCTCTTTGGCGGGCCGAGCCCACCTTGCAGAATGCCGCGGGCCGGTACCTGAGTCCCCGACAAGTCCTCCTTATTCTCAAGCTCCATCCGGATGGGGTCGTAGGGCGGCAGGCCCATCGGGTACACGATCATCGTCGCCCCGCGGAGCTGGTCCAGGGCGTCCTTCACCATCTCCATGGTGACGCAGACGCCGGCCTCCACGTGTTTCTGCGGCCGACAGGCTGGTTACCGGGCAGCCGCCAGGCTCACCCCGCCACGGAGCTCCGGCGCCCCAGCGCCCACCACCTGCCTCGGGGCCTTTCACTTCTTAAGTTCTTAAAAAAGGCCAAGGAAGCGAAACCACGTGTGCTCAGGGCTCAGGCCCTACCGGGCCCACAGGGCCCACCCACGTGGGCCCCCCAGGCCCCTCCGGCTGGCCCACAGGGCGCCAGCGCCAGGGTGAGGAGGGAGAGCCAGGGCCCGCCCCACGGTCGGCTCCGTGTCTCCAGGAGGCGGGGCGAGGGACGAGAAAGGAAAGGCCGGTCGCCCGGCGGCTCTGGGAGCTCCTTTTTCCAGAGACAAGCTTTAGAGCATCACTAAAAGCTAACCTTAGATATGATTGCTTTGGCTTCTTCCACGGTCTTCTTTAAAACTTGCTTCATTTTTTCATTTGGAGCTATGAAAATAAAAGAGAAGAGGGAGGGAGACAGCCATCTTTAAAATTCTCAAATATCCCACGCCCTTCCGTCAGGGTCGGGGGTCAGCGAGACGAGACAAAGGATGGGACTCGGCGAGGACACGAGGAGCCTGGGTGAAGGGCTCCCGCAGGCAGACGCGTGGTGGGTGCTCTCTGCCAGGTGGCAACGGTCCGGAGGGCAGGATGGACGTGGCGGCACAGGGCGGGGGGCGGGGCGCCACCTGTCTCCTGGGAAGGGCAGGGCCGGGGGCCAACGTTCCAGGCAGGCAGGTGACACAGGCTCTCTTGCAGCTGCTCAGCATCACAGCAGCAGGAAAGCAGCCACCAATTCCACTTAAATGGACAGGGTGGCCGCACTCCGATACAACCCGGTTCACAAAACGGACGCCGGCGGGACTGGCCCCGGGGGCCAGAGGTGCCCACCCCCCAGCGAGGGAAGAAGCTGTGACCCGAAAATGTGGAAGCGACCAGATCTAAGGGGGATGGGTGAGTTCAAACCTCACGTTCTTAAGAATATTAATTAGACCATGAAACTACTTAGAAATATAAAACCCTAACTTTTAAGACTTTTTCGTGGCTGCAAATCCTTCTATGAAGCAAAGACTCTCTCCAAATCAAGAATGAGACGTGGAAGACAACCAAGCACTTTCCAGGTAGGAAGTCACAGGAAATAGTCCTGGAACTGCACACGCACACACATGCACACATGCGCGCGCATGGAAAGGCCTTGCAGGAGGCCGCTCTATTTCCTTTCACTCCTGACAGCGTTTTGGGGGCACATGGCAGAGCCGCAGGCGGTGGCTGAGTGGCCGACTGTCGTCTCTGAAATGCAGCTCCTCGTGCAGGTTAAAAGGGGCGGCGACCCCAGGAGCTACCACCCTTCTCCCCTTCAGAGCCGCCTGGCCACCGGCAGTCACGGGGGCAGGTCACTTCCTGGCGCTGACGTGTGCTTCCTTCTGTCCCAAAGAATCTCCAAACGCCAGTTTCTGCAAATCCTAACAAAATGCCATACATTCTCAGTGACTATCCCCTGAAAACTGTTAGGTTGCGCCACATGAAGGTGCCAATCTTCAACCCTCTGTGACCCACAAAAATGGTAACTTCATATGGCTCATCTGAAGTATTTAACAGCTGGCTGCCGCTGGGACAAGGAGACAGCCTCTCCCTCATCCGCCTGCCTCACCCCGGACGGGCGCTGGACCAGGAGGGCGCGCGGCACGGCCCCCCCGCCGGCCGGGAAGCGCTGGGTTACCGTGCCCATTCCTGCGTCCGACGTCGTCCTTCTTGAACACGGCTCCACCACTGGGGACACACTTCTCGCCCCACTCGTCCCTCAACTTCAGCTCTTCGATCTGGTCATCAGTCAGTCCTTGCATGTTCGGAGGGAGGAACACGCCGTGTTCTGCTAATTCTTCCATTTCTTAAAAATAAGAGACAGACAACATGCTTCAGTCGTCACCTTATACCTCGTTGGAACGCACGTTCCTTAGAGATCAGGGGTCTTGACCTTCGGTTCACAATCTTTTTAACACACAGCCACCCCGGAGGCGCGCCAGGCCTGTGCTTGGCCTCGCCCGTTGCAGGCCCGTGGGAGCAGCAGACCTCAGGAGCTCGCCACGGGCACAGAGCGGCTGCAGATCCCGCGCCCTCCCGCGTCGTGTCGCCTCCTCCTGGCACTGGGAGGCGGGTTGGGTTCGCCGACAGTCTGCACACACAGCCACGGGCACTCTCCGCATTTCCAGATGTGCTCACGCAAAGCGCCTCGGGTCGCTAAACCTTGTGAGGCACGCAAGGCTGGTCCCCGCACCCCCTTCCCCAGCTCACAGCTGTATCATTGGAGGCTGGCACAGGTCAGACAGCTACTACTTTATACAAAACTTTAGGTAAGTGCTCCGTGAATAATTTCTGTAAATCCAGCCAGTGGGGAGGACTGCAGGCAGCCCACACCCCTCAGGAGTGGCAGAGACGGGGCAAGGCCTTGTTTTCTGAGATCGCGTTCACTGTGTGAAGGATGGCTTTGTAATTTCCTGTGCCAGATATTTCCACCCCCAAACGAGCCCACATTTCAACCTTATAAGATTCCCTTCCTTCCTCCCTCTCTCTCTCTCCTTTCCTCCCCGTCTTCCTTAACTGGAAAGGGTCACAGGGGCCTGGGTCGTCACATAACACTGCGAAGACAGCATGTGGCCTGGAACTGCAAGACTGGAGAACAGTGGGGTGCCTGGAAGGGCGTTCCTTGTCTCTCCCCCCGCCAGACGCTGAGCCCCTGGGGCCCAGCCGCTGGCCTCCCTCGGCTGGTTTTCTTTGGCACAGCCGGGGCCTCTCCCAATCCCGGCTCACAGCGGGGACTGTGGAGTCAACGCAGGGCTTCCAAGTGCACTAACATGACTTAACATTCAGCACCACATTTTCGATGGGTAATTTTATATTAGCTGAGTCCCTTTTTTTCCTCAAATGCTTTAGTTTTAAAATAACATTGACCACTGAGCTTGTTTTGGAATCGTCAATTTATGAACAAATAAACTCTATGTACGCTCACAAAGGCAGACACCAGGACCCGTGAGGAGTTCTCCCCGGCGTGACATCACGTGTCCTTGTTATAAAAACCCTCCACATCCTGGACCACACCTGGAGGTGTATCTCCCTGGGCTCTGAGGAGGTAGCCACCCACTGCACTTGACGATTTAGATGTGAGTAAAATGAAATAAAAACTGTAAGCGCTGTTCCAGTGTTGCACTAGCTGCAGGCCCAGGGCTCAGCGGCCCCCTGTGGCTGGGGGACACCTGCTGGGACAGCGGAGGTGGGGAGCATCTCCCTTGGGCAGCGCTGCCTGAGTGTGGAGAGGGGGCGACTCCACGCTGCCCGGAGGGACAGGCCGTGTCCTGAGAAGGGGAAGGACACCTGGGGCTCGCTCTGGCTTCTCCCCCTGGAGGGCAGGTGGTTCACGCCAAAACCTGCTCCACCTCAGGGCGTCTCAAAGCCCTGAATTCGCTTTTTTCAAGTGCCCAGTGCTCGTCCCCCGTCTCACACCCGCTCCTCGGCCCGGCCTCTGGGGTCCCTCCTGGGGCTCTTCCCTCTCTACCCGTTTGCTCCAGGGCGTCCCGCCGGCGCACCACTCCTGGCTCCAGGACACACGGCCGCCTCCACGCGGTCCGCCGGGCATCGCTGGTGGCCCTAAAGTGGACCCTCGCCCCTGGCCTGCCTGAGAGAGCCGAGTGGGCCCCGCGCAACCTCCTCAGTCCCCGACGGCCCCGGACCCGCCGCCGGCCCACCTGAGCAGATGCGCTGCACTTTGAGGCGCGCGTTGTAGACCCGGGTCACCCGCACGGTGAGCTCCTCCAGCTCCGTGCTCCCCGACGCCTCCAGCAGGAACTGGCTCTCGTCGCCCCGCTTCACGTGCAGCAGAACCATGACGGCTCCGCAGGCCCCGCCGAACCGGCGAGACGGCCCAGGTGCGCGGCCCGCGGTAGTTCGAGGGCACAGCGGGCCCCTACTAACCGCCGCTCAGGGCCGGAACCCACGGCTCGCGGGCCCGAGGTGTGGGGGGGAATGGGCAGGCGCTCCCGGAAGTGGCTGTTGCCAGGAGCAACAAAGGAAACAGAGGCTGGGGGCCAACTGCTCAAAGTCCAAATCCTGGGGTGGAAAAGCTGCGGTGCGCGGAGAGCCGGCAAGCCACTCCTGGAGCAGATGCCGCCTCGCAACGGCCCGCACAGTCCAAGGGACTGTTGGTCCGGTCCGTAACTGCCCGCTGGGTTCGTCCTCCGCGGCCCCGGAAGTGGCTGTTGCCAGGAGAGACAAAGAAAATAGTCTGGGGGCCTCTTACTCAAGGTCCCAATCCTGGGGTGGGGAAGCCGCGAGCGTGGAGAGCCGGCAATCCGCTCCGGGAGCAGGTGCCGCCCTGCACAGCACCTGCCTGAAGGGGTCGCCCCGCCCCCCGGAAGTAGCTGTTGTCCGGGCAACCCTCCAAACAGACTGAGCCGCCGGCGGCTGGGACCACCCAGTCCACTCGCCGGGACCCTACAGTCCGCCGGCAGGACTGGTTGGAGTGGGCGGGGCGCTGAGTACCCCCGGGCGCCGGCTCCGCCCCTCCGTCTTAGAGGGGTTTCCGCCTCCAGCAACGCCCACTTCCGGAAAAGCCCCGCTGCTTCCGGTGTGGATGTTTGGGCGGCCCGCTCAGGTCGTGGTTTCCCCGCACTGGGGTTGCGCGGGCCTTCCACCCCTCACCTGGGGCCAAGGGACGTGTCTGCACCGCAGGTGTCGGGAGCTCACGCGGCTGCTGCCGAGCGCCCTCCCCGAACTGCCGAGCCGGCCGCCAGCCAACAAAGTCTCATTGAACGGCGATCGCGGCAGGCGCTGGTGACCCGGGCAGATCCTGGGTCACTGCTGCCGTGAAGCTTTTGTCCCATTAGTGACAAAGAGAGCACAAAAATGAACGGAGAAGGCAAATTCAAGTAGATGTGCACAGAAAACAGGGCTCTGGCTTTTTAGATGGGACTGTCGAGGAGCGCCGGAAGGGTGGGCGACGTTTACAGAGTCCTTGACACCAAGCCTCTGCCCCGGTTACCTCTTTGGAAGGGCCACGGCCCGGAACTGATGGGGATGTTAAAGGCGCCCGCTTCGCTCTGTTCCTGTTCCTGGGGTTGCTTCCAGGGGCTGAGTGGAGAGGGGTGACCGTAAGCCTGGGACTGCCCCAGGCCAGTCCAGGGCCTCCGGGAAGGCCGGTGACTGACCCTGGCTCCCAGGGGGTGGAGCCCAGGGAGGGGACGGCCAGGGCAGGGTCACCCGGCCCCGGCACGTGCAGCACCACTGCTCACATTGGCAGGCGTCTCCCTTCCAACTGGGAACAGCCCAGCTGTCCTCCGACGGGGGCGACAGTTAAACCAACCGTGGTACATCCATAGCAGGGATACTACTTAGCAATAAAAAGAAATGAACTGGATACACAGTCTGGATGAATATCCGGGGAATGATGCGCAAAAAAGCCGTCTCCAGAAGGTTATATACTACATGGTTCCATTTCTATAACGTTCTTGAAATGGCAAAATGATAGGGACGGAGAATAGATCGGTGGTCACCAGAAGTGAAGGACAAGGGAAGGGGGGTGGGGCGGGCGGGCAGTGGGCAGCGGGAACAGGAGCGGGGAGCTTGCAGGGGCGCACGTCCTGCGGCCGCGTCAGTGCCCCGCTGCGGTACTGGATTCGTTCCGCAACATGCTGCCCCGGGGGGCAGCCGGGCAACGGGTGCACGGTGTCTCTGCTCTTTCTGAAAACGGCACATCAATCTAAAATCATCTGAAAATTTTAAACATTAAAGTTTATTATTATTTTCTACCTGTAACTTCTCCATCAGAAGTTAATGAACATAATTCAACTTAATTCATGAGTCAAGGTGGTTGTTTGGAATAGCAATCACGTAAGACAAAAAGAGTCAATACTCACAGAAACCACTAGCTTCGGCCTCTGTGTGTCTCTGTCGCCGGTCCCGTTTGTCGGGTTGTGTGCGGTTTCACTCTGTGCCCGCCCCCCCCCCGCCCCCCTGTCCCTTTGCTGTTGTTAGAAAATGATCATTCATGTGTTATCTTCAAGCCAACAAGATTTTGAGTTAGGGCCTTTTAATGATGCTTACTAATCTTTATATATATATATATATAAATATATATATATATTTTTTACTTTTAGAGTATTATTATATGGAGAAGTAAAATGGATGAAAATAAGATCTTGAATTGAAATATCTGATCCAACAATGAGTTCATCACCCAATGTCTCTAACTTGTATATGTAAAGTTCAAGGGCGAGCGCTGAGAAAAGTCCTTCTCTTTTGAGCAAAGTAGTCAATATGGTAAAGACAGATCTATTTATTTCATATGACAGCACATTTCACAGGATATGTACAGAATGTTTGTATACCTTGACTTTAACATATTCTATAAAGTATATAGTTATAAATATTGTATGCCATATAAGCAATAAAATTCTTACATATAAACAGCAATCTACTATAGAGAACAAATGATTCACAAAGAAATCCTTAGTGTCTAATTTTTGCTCTGCTTTGAACAGAACTGGTAAATATTTTCTTAATACATAGAATGGCTAGTTATTTGCAGCATACCTTTAACCTTCATAACTTTGTGCACTTTCAGCAACTTGTCAAACATAATTTTCCTGATAAAGGCTGAGCTGCTGCCTGATATGTATATTTAGACAGTAGTTTATATTTAATAGGAAACATTGCGCACAGAACTGCAATTGCACTAGTGACATTTATAATGAATTATTTTGCCAATGGAGAGCAAATACCAGACACACTAATCACATAGATGTTAAAGCCACAGTTCCAACAAGTTAATTCACATTTTGAAGCACAGCGCTTACAGTAATACTGCTGTTTAAAATATACCACTGAAATGATTAGAACCCCAAAAAGCACAATAAAAAACTCACAAGAGTTATTTCTAACAGCAAATCCTGGCTGCTAACAGAGAGAGGATCGCTTTTATAAATAGAGTATTTTGGTAACATCTGAGGATTTAGAAAAGTGTTTTTTCCTCACAGACCTGCTTTACGTGGTTAAGTGCAACGCAGCTCGCTGTGCTTCTCCCAGTGGATGTGTCCCTGGCCACGGGCCTCTGGTTTCTGTGGGCCCCCCGGTGCGCCCTGTGGGGGTTAAATATGGACGGCGGGATCCCAGCGGACAGGTCTCACTCTTTGGGAAAGGAATGTTAGTGCACGTCTCGGGGGATAAAGATTTTAGCATAAACTTACAACAAAACAACTGCTCAAGGAGTTTTCTGATCAGGATTACTTAATCATATCAAAATACTACATTCTGTAAAAATTCGGTGTACTCCCTCATTAACTTAAAAGCAGGATCAGTTGTCTATTGGCAGTGCGGGAGGCAAAATCCACAGGTACCTGGAGGGCGGCCTCGAGGAACCCAGAGCAGCGGCACAGGCGTGCTCTGCCGCCTCCTGGGGGAGAGCGTCCGCCGGGCGGACCCCCAGGGCAGAGCGTGCCCGGCTGCGCCAGAGCAGCAGAGGGAAGCGTGTGGGCGGGGCGGGCAGCACGCACCTCCGGGACAGAGGAGGGCGTGTGGAGCGATACTGCTGCCCGTGAGCCGGTGGTGTGTGCCTTCCGAACAAAGGCCTGTGCCCTTTGGAAAGGGTAGGGGTGCCCACCTGCAGGACCAGTGGCCTCGAGTGACCCTGCGTCCAGCTGCAAGCAGCTCCTCCCAGAGGGGTGCACGTGGAGTGCTGGCATGGAGAGTGACAAGGACGTGTCGTGTGTGCACGTAAGGGGAGAAAATTCTGATGCCAGAGCAAGGACTATTCGAGTTTTGGAAAGTAAATTAAAGAAAGGTCAAATTTCATTCATGCTCATCTCTTTGATAATGAAATGAAAAAAGAACTCTGTTAGAACTTTTAGGTAAAAATCTGAGTATAGCCTAGAATTTAAGTGATGAGCTTTACAAACATGTAAGCATGGACATGTATGCACATGTAGGCATGTGTGTGCTTTTTTTTTAAAGCAATGCCTCTAAGAGTTCTGCTTCAGTATCACTTTGACCAGCTCTTTGGTAAATACTTATAAATACCAATTGTGAATGAGGACAAAAGCGCTGGCTTTCTGTTGTGCCAGCTGGAAACCGTTTGGGCTTTTTGAGATTCTTTCACAAGGACTAACAAAGAATTTCTGAATAAGGACTATTTTCTAAAGTAGTTTTGAGCACTTTCTATGGCTACTGCTCTCTCAGTTATCCAAACAGAAACACACGGAAACCCCAGCTGATGTTGAGAAGGACTGTTTCCTTAGTTCCCACAGACACACGTTCCACTCTGTACACGTTAAATGGCGGTGTTTCTTGACGGCCTCGGCGCGCCCGGCGAGGAATGGCACACAGCGAGCGCCTCGTGCCCATCTGCCGGCCCTCCCCCACCGCGGCCGGGGCAGCAGCTTCCCGCCCAAGGGCCTCATCTTTCTGTGAAGTCCAGCACGGGTGCTACCAGCGGTGCCCGGGCCGTGGGAGGGGCCCCTGCAGGGGTGGGGCCAGCCGGGAGCCCAGGGACAGGAGGTGGGGGCGGCCTCCGGGAGGGCACCACACAGGAGGAAACATTCGCGCCTTTACCCCAGTCGCCGTCGAAGGCCGCGCTGGAGCCGGAAGAGGGGCCTGGCTGACCGCCCAGGACATCCGGACAAGGCGGCCACGACGCCCCTTTCACGGCAAAGCCCTCGTCGTCTTCGAAGGTCACCCATCCTTTTGGGTGGCTTGTTTTTCCTGTGGACTGGCCCGGCGGATCGGAACTGTCCTCCAAGCCATCAGGCAGGGATGAAGGCTGCAGGGGAGGGAAGGGGCGGCTGGCAGCAGGCTCTTCCTTGGAGAACCACGAAGCTGAGCCGGGTTCTTGAGACTTGGCCCTACATGGGTCCCTGGGAGCGGCAGTCCTGTCGGTGAAAGGGTTGGCGCTGGCCGCGCTCGCAGCAAACGGGTTCGGAGAGCATCGCAGGTCTTCCTGGGACTTACTCCGGGCTGGGACTGGAGGCAGCGTCGGCATGCAGCTTACGGGGCTCAAAGCGCCGGTGCTCCCTTGGGTTGCAGAAGGCGACGGGGCCCGGCCCCAGGGGCCGGGGATGAAAGCAGGCGACGCGTGAACAGAGGACTGAGCCTTCGAGACGGGGAGCAGATTCAACGACAGGTCTTCAAACGGGTCACTCCGGAACGCCGAGTCCAGTCTGACTGCAGAGATGCCATTGGTTTTTACCTGGAAAACAAAGAGGGCACTGAATAATCAAAAAATACACTAAAGTAATGTATTTATTACACTTTTAATACTCCCTAAGCTTGCTTTCTGTCTCAGTTATTCTTGATTTGAGGGGCAAGTACACAAATTTAGAAAAGAAAGAGGAGCTTGTCACTCTAGTGGACTAAGAGAAATCAACTGAAGTCTTACGCTGGAAAAACTCCCTGCTAAATAAGTCCACTTAGTAACTACAGCTTATTTTGTTCATGCAAGTACTGCTGTGGTAAGATGGACTTGTACAGAAGCAGCAGACAGCTTCTGTGCACATCCAGGAAACTAAGACGTCAGCCAACTTGAGAAGCCCATATTCAGAACTTACGCTAAATCTATATAAAATTCCAACACCCATCTGTGATGATGGAGTTTCGTTATTCTTTTAAATACACTTTCATTTAAAGTTCATGTTACTAGGGAAATTCCACTTTATGGATGAAAATTAATTTTATTAGTACATCTGTAAGCTGAAGGTGACACATCTTTTCCTTTTCTACTTGGAAAAATGAATGTTCAAAGCATTCTTTGCCTTTTAAAATATGTTCTCCTTTGTAGAATAAAGTCTGTGGATAATGTGACAATGTTTCTGAATGGACCTGCCTCGTCTTGTAAAAATCTTCTCAAACATCTAGAAGTGCTCAATGGTTATTTAAAACCCATTACTTAAAAAATCACATTTTCTACTTGGTACATTAATCCTAAAACCAAAACGCGGCGGCGCCCAGCGCTGGCGCGTGGCCGAGCTTCCCGAGGACGCTGCTGGGGGACCGGCGCCGAGTCGCTCCACAGCCCCAGACCCCGTGCTCTGCGCTTTGGTCCCAGGGACGCAGGCGGAGTGGAGCGCGGCCAGGGGACCGAGCGCCCCCTTTTCTGCGGGGACACCAACTGTGATCTCGGCCTGGGGAGCAAAGCAGCTCACAGACATGGCACTTTAATTATTAAAACTAGGTGGATGGCTCAAATATTAATGACGAAGTTAAAAATAAAAGAGCCAACCGCTGGGATTTAAAGAACAGGAAACGGAGAATTTTAGCTCAAGACTTGCAATGTGACAAAATGGAGCACTACCCCAAGTGAATTTAGCTGTAGAGCAAATAACTAAACATCCATGAAACACACTGGGAAAAGGAGCAGCGGCCCTTTCCGGGGAAGGTAACGGCCTCACCGCGTGGCTCGCTCGGCGCGGGAAGCACCCTCAGGTAGGGGAGCGTTTACTTGGTTGGCCTATCCTGTGCTTAATGAAGAGGTGTACTGTTTTTCAAACGAACTTAATAGGACAATAAATTGGTTCAAAATTAAAGAGTAAACAAGTCCTGGACGCTGCACATGATTCGAGGAGGTGAAGGGGGGCCGGCGTGTCCTCGGGGGCGCACTCCCCGGGCAGCGCCCCCGCCCCCGCCCCCGCCCCCGCGCAGCGCGTGCCCAGGCCGCCCCACCGACGTCAAGGGAAAGGAGGTCCCGCTTCGCACGGCCTAGGACACTAGGCCATTGCCACATAAGTGCCATACACTTCAATGTTTTTATTTCCATATAATAAAAAAATCTGTTTTCAAAGTAAGTTACAGATAATTTGGTAGGAGCAGGGTCATTTTGCCCAGACTGGAGACTATGGCAGCCACACCCCATTCATTGTACGGGGGTTAATTTGTGACCTAGGGAGGATTTGGGGTGACAATAAAAACGGTGGTATTTTTACAGGGAAAGATGTTGGAAGAAACTTTAAATAACCCTGTTATAATATTAACGATCTTTCTAAATCAATTCTTCCTTGTCAAAAAAGAATCTTGCAACTAAAACTGTTTGAATTTTTTTTTTCTAAAAGAAACGTATGAAAAAAATTGTGCCAAGAATAAGTTTTGCAAACAGATTTTCATATACGTGAAGCTTACCTTACTAAAGTTACAATTTTTAGTTTTGTTAATTTTCATAAAAAAACAAAGCAAAATATGGGAAAGCATTAGCAAGAACTAAAATGGTTCCTAAAAATTCAAAATACTAAGGAAAAGAAAAAGCGGTGCATGGTATGACGACAGAGTCTATCAGCGTGGACAGGCAGTTTAGAGATGGGCGCGGCGTGAGATGGATGAGGCGAGAGGCTCATGCATCTCCCGGGCTGCGGCGGGCGAGAAGCACAGAGAAGACAGAGAAACAATCAGTACCTGTTACCTGGCGGCTGCTCCTGCTTCGAGAAAAGGACACAGACATCAGAGGAAAGCGTTAGAGGACGGCCTGAGACCAGCCGGCAGCCCCGCCCCAGGCCCCCCGAGCTCTTCCTTCTGGGCCCCACACACGCAGCCAAGCACAGCGCCTGTGCAGGTCCCGCACCAGCTCAAGCAGCGATTCCAGGCTCTTTTGTAATTTCGACAGAAAGTGTGTTGCTGAATTAGCACTCAAACGTGAATTTTGTCTGAGGTTGGTTACTAGCCAACGGGTTCAAAGTTTTGTTATTCAAAAAATAATCATCTAAGTAGGTGTTCGAGGTTCTAAAATACCGGAAGCAGCCTGTTACGGAGGAGCTGTTTGTCAGCTGTTTGTCACTGGGGTTGAATGAGGCCCTGAGGGCGGCCACACCCTGGAGGGCTTGCTGGCCCTGCTGCGCCGAGGACAGGCCCCAGGCCCGGTGAGCACCGGCGCGAGGGCCGCCTGTGGGCCAGGAGCGGGGCCTCGCGGGAGCCCGGCCCTGTGGGTCCCCTCTCTGGGGCCTGTCGCCCCGAACCGCCGCAGAACCACTCCCTCCGGTGGCGCCAACAGGAGGGCTCGGCCTTGAGGTGGCCTAGGCGCTTATCCGCACTGGAGAAAATGCACAGAGTGCCAAACAAACTGGAAATGAGCATTTGTTTTATCAAAACGGGCAGTTACCATGTTGTTACTACTTGTTCTCTGCTACTCAACAGTTTTCTGAAGGATGATACTGTCACTAATTCACTTCCCAATACACTAGCGGGAAGGTACAACATGGTGTAAAACTGGATCCTATTTTTGTTGTTTTAAGCAACAAATGACATCATACTCTTTCTACAATAAAGCAGTATTTTTAAGAAACAGTTTTGAGCAAATCTTTCCCATTATGTAACACTTACCTTGTTTTAAAATGCCAAAACTCATTCCGACAACTTAGGGAGATACCAGCCTAAGATATGTGAAGTGTTATTAGACTTCCCTGCCCACTGAACACGAGAGTCCTGGACGCAGGCCATCGCTCTCCTGATGGCCTCGGGGCCCCACGGCTCCGCCCGGGCACCGGACCCCAGTGGGACTGGGCTGCGCTCAGAGGCCGAGGCGGCACCCCCTCGTGGCAGAGTGCGCACGCCACCCGCTGCCAGCTCTCACGCGGGCCACGCGGCAGTAGCGCGGCTACTGCACCCCTCTGTTCGGAGGCCTGACTCCCAGTTCTTAGCTGATGATCGGGCGACCAAATGTCTGACTGAGGCAGACAGACAAGGGAGGCACGTTTACAGTTTATAAAAGATACAAGACATGTTATATAATCATTTGAATTGGAAGTATCTTTTCTATATAGAATTATAGTCAAAAACATTTAAACAGTAATAAAATGGAAAGCAGGTTCATACATGTTATGTTTCAAATACCTTAGATTTTGGGGAGAATTTAAAAAGACATGTAAAAATTACTAAGCGTTCAGTTCTAAGACTATTTCATGTTATTACCAAAATATCAAATATGTCGTATTTTAAAATCTTACCCTTTTAAACGTACAGCCACCACAGATGATTTTTTAAATTTTAATTGTTTATTTATTTATTTTTGGAGTAGGTAGTATTGTTACGGTTCAAAATTCAAAAGGTACGAAAAGATAAAACGCGCCCCGTCCCCACGCCCACCAGGAAGAGACCTGACTGCTCCGCGAGCCTCGCGCCAGCGCAGGAACAAGACCCTAACCCCGCCAACAGAGCACGTGTGTGCGCGCGCGGCGTCCTGGGGAACAAGGCAGCGGAGGCGGAGGCGGAGGCAGAAAGAGCTCGGAACCTACAGCGAGCGCCCCCGGCGGCCCAGACGGGCTGACTACGGAACTTGAGAGCGCGGCCCGCCAGGCCGCCCACGAAGCCTGTGCTGTCTGCCGCCAGGTCACCACGCCCGTCCCACTGAAATTCAGAAATCAAAGCAACGGCGATGACCCAAGAAAACCACGTGTGGCAGTCCCCGCTGTGCGCAGCCTCTGTACTTTGGCGTCCTAAGACGACTTTCTACAGAAGGCGGCAGCCGCCCACCATCGCGGGGAGGGTCTGTGACTTGGAGCCACGCTGTGTGGTGTGACGCAGTCACTTTTACCGCAGCGACTGGTACCAGCAGGAGCCGGTGCCTTGGGGCCACCAGCGTGAGCGCACACCCCGCTGGTCTGGGCCCCGCCATCCTGTGTCCGCCTCCGCAGGGCGGGGCTTTAGGGACTGGGCCCACCGTCACTGTGATGTGGACGCTCCTTTCTGCCTGAAACAGCGACAGAAAGCTCTGGAACGGCTGGCTCATGGGAAAGTGTTTTGCCTTCCAATTACATTTAAGAAAATATAACAGTATACTTTAGAAGAAAATGAGAAAAAAATCCACGACTCAGGAAAAGCCCCAGAAAGAAAGAACAGTAGACAAATACAAATCTTTAGGATCCTCAATTTTCTGAACTAAAAATGTAGGCTACTTTGTGGTTCGCATCAACTGATGAGAACCTATTTTTTCCCAATTATATATCCTCCTTCAGCTTTTTAAAATGTACCCATAGTCTGAGTAAATGCTAATGCCAACAATATTCATGCTGTGTTAAGAGTCATATTTACTTGAACATTTTTTCACTATGTAGAAGCATAAACTTAATTTCTGCCAACGAGCTAGACACGCTCAGATATCTGTAAAATAAAGGCTAACTATAGTTTATAGATGTGTTTAAGGGACACCACCAGTATGTAGTATATCTGCATTTTAGATGTCCCCAAGTTTAAAAGCAGACTTAAGGCTTCACACACTTCTTTGACTTTAATGGTATTTTCAAGTTAAAATTTTAGGATAAAATAAAAAGCAAGCCTTGACAACAAAACATGTACTTGCTAAATAAAAAGTTTATTTTAATAATTATACTGTAAAGGCTATGACAAAAACGTCAAACTAAAACCACGTAGCTTGCACGGTCATTTCTGCGTTGGCACAGTTCTGCACCCCGCAGCGGGTCCCTCCCACGCGAGAGGCTCTGGCACAGCAGCGGCCCAGCGCCCGGCGCTTCCTGCCCACTGTGCCCTGGTGCTGCGTTCTGCACGACACTAGGAGCTGACAGTGTCCTGAGGGTTTTCACTGTGGTGACTAACCTGCTGCTACACATCCAAGCCACCGACACTGACCCCACAAGCCAGGCTGTCTGAGGTCCCCGGGGAGAGCTGGCGCGCTCCGCCGCCGGGAAGAACTGCACCCTCACGAGAGGGCAGAGAGGGCCGCTCTGTTTGCTGGCAACGACCGCATGGCCAGCGGTCGGGGTGACCGGGCTGCCTCTCTCTCTCCAGGAAGTGAAAGGCCTGACTAAGTTGTCAGTCATGAGCAAGAGCAACAGGAAAAAGAAACCATTGCCGTGCATCCTGATGTATCGACTATCCAAATGAACGCTTTGAAAGTTAACAAGCCACTCAGGAATTCCCAGAAGAGCCCTCCTGTCGGCTGACTCTCTGAGGATCCTTGCTCTAAGCAACAGGTTAAAAAGAGCCAACTCTCAAACATACATTTGTTATGTGACGGATCTGAGATGTCAAATAACGCTCATCTGTTGAAGTCACATCTTACGATGCTGTTACTACCCAAAAGCAAAAACAAAAAGAAAATTAAGTTGAGATTTGTTTATGTCTTATAAAAGCTAATGATTAAAATGAGTCTGTTCAAAGACCACGCCAGGGGACTTGCCTGCGGCTGCGCCGGGGGGTCTGAAGGCAGGCCGTGGGAGGACCTGCTCCGCGGCGGCGGCTGGGGCGGTGTGTCCAGGTTGGGCTGGGGGGAAGCCTGAGGCAGAGGTGCAGCTGTGGGGACCAGAGGCTCCTGCATCTTTGGAACAGGCGGGGGCAGGGAGGGCTGCACAGGCGGGGCGGCCTGCGGCCGCAGAGGCTCAGGAAGAAGAGCAGGACCTGAAAAGCCATTTTCAGATGTTAGGAGGTTTCTGGAACGGTGTTTGGCCCTCCCTTCACAAGGCTGCCGGGAGGCTCGGGGCTCGCGCGGCGTTGCCCGCATGGGGTCTACCTCTCAGGCCTTCCGAGGGTCTGCTCTGGCTCTCGGGAGCTGGCCTCCCGGCCGCGGCCCGGGCGTGGCTCTGTGGGGCGCTGATCACTCCGGCGCGGGGCGGGACCATCTGCACGGGGAGGAAGCACGCCAGCTCAGACGTCCGCGTGCTTTCAGCAGGGAAGATTGGGCGACGAAGGTCGCTCCTGCGTCTCATCCCCCTCTGCCCTGGCACCTTCCCACCTCGCGAGGGTGACCGTTTTCTAGTCGCAGCCACAAGTGAGGTTTAGAATCTGCCCTTCGGCTTTTCCCTGTGCGCTGTGTGCCAGGCGCCATGTCCACGGAGCTGGCCCTGGCCTTTCGTCCCCTCACGGTCCCACGGGGGCAGCAATTATTTTACCAGCTCTATTGGCGATGAAGACAAGGCATGGCTGCAGCTTCTCACGGCCACACAGCCAGGGCCCCGGCGCGGTGCGATGGGCTACAGGGCCCCGCCTGCCGCCCGGGGCTGGACGGCCCTGCTCACAGCGGCCGCCAGGCTCGGACACCGAGCGACTAAGAGGCTCCCAGCATCCTCGCCGAGCCGTGTCCTCAACACGGAAGCAGACTCTCGAATGACTAACTCAGCCTGGGAAATTAAAGGTGCTGGAAGACACCCGGGACAACCACACTGTTTTACACGTTTGCTGAAGGCTCTAAGCCCCAGTGCCCCACAAGTGGGCATTAGGAAGGCCGTCACACAAGAGCCTGGCCTGCCTTCCCTGGCCTCGGAGTGATCGACAGTTTTAAAAAGCGCTGTGGGAGGTGAGGTGGAGTCAGTGAAGGGCGACCTCCATTCTCCTGGAAACAGGAGTGGGGAACAGGAAGCCTTAGGGATGCCCCACAGGTGTTCGTGTGATACTACGTATCGAGAAGACCCTTTAGGTGGACGCTAAATAGAACTATGAGAGAGAAGACAAAACATTTCTCCCTCGGCAATTTTATGAGAATGACTTTTTGGACATCAGCAGCAGTTTCAGGAGACGCAGTTTGCTCATTTCTAGCGACGGTGACGGGCCGGGCCCTGCCCTCCAGCAGGACCACCAGACAGCCCAGGGCACTGATCCCAGACCCCTGCTTCTTTCTAAGTGACTTACAGCCTGAGATCATTCTCCCCGGGGGGACCCCGGGTCACAGCGCGTGAGAGCACACGGGATGACGCGCAGGGACATGCCCCGCACCCTCTGCTGCCCGACGTCCAGCGCTGTGCAACCAGTTCTAGGGACCACGCTATCACGCCTCTACCTCCTGAAACCTACTTTCACAGTCTTACTGAAGGATGACTTCCCGTCCTCATTAGCTACGCAGAAAACAGGATGAAAAGGCTGCCCTGACCCACCCCCTCACAGACCGAGAGGCCCGACGGGCCCGTGCTCCCACCGAGGCCTCTCACTGACCGGAGCAGGATGGGCCCTGGGCCCCGAGCTGCCGCCCCGGGCCAGCGCTACCTACCGGTCTGGCCGCTCCGAGTGCAGCAGGCGCTGGGCCTGTGAGTCCCGCGGGAGGCGACGGCTGGCTGTGTCCTGGAACAAAGAGGCCACAGCCGGCAGTTAGGGTTTTAAACAAGAGGCCACGCGCTCCTCTCCCAAGGGTCTGGCTGGCCATGGCCCAGTGTGAAGGTGCTGGGCTCGATCCAAATGTTTTTACCTATATTATCTTTCCGTGTCATCCCAGGACTTTTGGGTGCTTTGAAACAGGAAGGAAAAACAGAGTTAGTCATAAGTAAACACTACAGCAACACTGCACAAGGTCGGGTGGCTGCCCCGTCTCATGAGCAGCAGCAGCGGGGCCCAAGACGGCGGCACAGGACCGCTTTGGGTGATGGTGCAGGGCCTCGTCAGGCCTGAATGAACCATCCCCAAGGAGAGGGAACGCAGGGAACTCAGATCGACATGGGCGGGAGGCAGGCTGGCCCTCGCTCTGATGTGTCCCTCACAGGTCACTTTTAAGCTGACCTTTCCAACAGAGCTCTCCCCTGCAAGCCTGGAAGACAGGCGGCCAGCTCACGGGGACAGTCACGGACGCGGCCCGCCGCCCCCAGGGCCCGGCCAACCGGCTGCGCCTGAGCAGCGAGCGGAGCCTCCAGGTGGCACAGACAGGGCTCCCGGCCACGCAGCTCCAGGACATCAGCTGCGCCCGCCGCCGGGGCGAAGGGACCCCGGGATGAGCTCTTCGGGACTCCTGTCACAGAGTCCCGGGGCCCAGGCGGAGGACAGGCGTGGCCGATCGCTCCGTCTCCACCTGAAGGAAGACGGCGTTAAAATGCGGCCACGCTCAGAAAGGTGGGCGAGGGACGGACGAAGGGCGTGTGGGACTGGCAAGGACAGCGCCGCTGATTTCTCTTGTGAAAGGAAATGCAAGTGCGGCTGTTGTGGGGAACACATCGGCCTTTAACAACTGTCATCTTAATGAATGGCTTCTAGTCTTAATGGTCTTTAAAGTAAACTTAGTTCAGCATCATTACATATAAAAGTGTTCATGGTATCTGAAATCTTTCACAAATAATTCTTGGACCTGAATTAATAGGGCTTATTTATAATTATTAAAACTTCACAAGTTAGTATAGTACATTTCTAAGTATTTGACTTATTCTGAAAAGGATTTTGAAGGTATTTTTCTTAAAATAACATTGTACAGTTATTTCACATCCTAAATACATATGAAATACACACAAAGCAGGATAGACAACGTAAGACTTGCAGGGGAATTGAATGGAAACCCACAAGGCAGAATGAAAAAAGAAAAAAAGACAAGGCTGCAGGGTGCACACAGAAGGGAGGGCGGCGTGCAGTGGCCCGGGCGAGGGTCAGTGACTGCACGCGCAGGGCGAGGGCGCGCAGGGCGGTTACCTTCCAGCTCTCGCCTGGCCGCCCTGGGGCTGGGGGGGGCGCCGGCACCTTTCGGAGAAAGAACAGAAGCCGTACAGTGTGCACGGCCTGCCGCACGGAGCGCCAGGCAGGCACACGAGACAAATTCTGCATTAAACTCACTTTTGCCAAAAGGCCCTTTGTCTACTTTAAGTTTCTTCAAATATATCAGGACAAACCCACATGACTCAAGAGGCCTGGCCTGCACCTCCCTCTCCTCAAAGGGAGGTGCAGGCAGAGGTGGCCACGGGGGGCGGGGGGGGGACGGACGTGAAAACCCATCTAAGGATGACCTCGCCTCAGGGGCTGCGCACGCCTTACGTGCAGAGTTAAATCGCCAGGAAGAGCTCCGACGCGTGAGCCGAAAAGAGAAAAAAGTCATACTTGGAATTTCACTTTAAATTTCTATGAGACTACATTAGTCTCTCAGAAGTTAGTTTTGCTGCATTATTTTTCAAAAACTCAAAAAGCACTGCAATTAGGTTCTCCGACCTTACTGCCTTAAAGGAGTTATTGGTTTACAGGGTTAAAAAAAAAAATGGAAGAACTATGGAGGCAGGCAATTTTTAAAAATTAAATCAGATTTCTAAGTAAGTCCCTGAGTTGCTAAAGAGATATAACTTTTCACAAATTCATTAAAAAATTTATTTTCTACTAGTTGTTTTCTTAATGAAAGGACAAGAGAAAGAGAATTACCAAGGAAATACAAATAAAAGCATGAGTTTAAAACAGGAAAAAGTGATGTTTTCTGTAGGGCAATGGAAAAATTTTCATCTAGCAGTGTTTTGCAGAAGCTGCAATGCTGTAATAATTTAGCTATCAAACACGTATCTCCGACTGAGCTCTCTGAGTTTTCATACAAATCGAATAAATTACACTTTAAACTTAAAAGTGATTCGTTTGTTAAAAAAAGTATTTCCCCATTAAAAAATAAAATTGTTCTCGTGTTTCAAAAAAGGAGGCATGAGCTCCGTGACCAGTCCGAGAGCGCCCCCCCCCGCCCGCCACGGTCACTGCGAGCGGCCCCCAGGCGAGCCCGCAGCCCTGGGCTGCACGGAGCCCCCGGCGGGAGCCCTCAGGACCCCTCCGACATTAGCGCGCTTCAGGCGTGAAAGCTCTGCGACCCGGCTGGCGCTGCCAGGGAGGGACGGGCGCCAGCCTGGATGAGCGGCCCGACTGTGTCCGCGCGGGAAGCGGGAGCCTCTGCTGGTTCCACTCGCTAACAAAACCGCGCTCTAGGCCCTCCCTCAGCAGGCACAGAGCGGAGGTTTGGAGCTATTAAAAACACAAACGTCATTCACTTTGACTTTTATCACACAAACCTCAAGTGTCTTTCAGTTCTAGGGATCAAACTCCAAAACATCAACAGACCAGATGCACATGCTATAACAATCACAAACGATTACCTCCGAATTCTTTTCTAGCAGGTGCGGGGCTCCTAGCCCCTTAGAGTCCGTAAGAGCGCACGCAGCAGAAAGGAAAGGACACAAAGGGATTGAAAAGCCGAAGATTTGTCATAGCCATCACGGTGTCAAGCGGCATGTAGGAACTGTGCAGCAGGGTCTTGGCATTACAGAAAAGCTATTATTTAACTGCATGCTTCTGATCGTTTAACAACACATACTGACTTAAAAAGACCATCTACACAAATAGGTAAAACTTCAGATTAAATAAGTGTATGCGTGTTCTTTACGTCTCAGTACACATTTAAGAGAAGTCGGCACAACAGCGCCCACGCAGAAGCGACACCACACTTCTCGCACGCCTGTAGGAGGCAGCTCTGGAAACAAGGCGCGGGAAGCTGGCAGGACACGTTCTACCTGCAGCCACGCCCACCGCGTTCTGCGGAGAAAAGCTGAGGACGTGGCAGCAATAGGAAGGCAACGCGGCCTAGAAGCCAGGGGTGAGGGGCCTGCCAAGCACTGGCCGCTGCGCGGAAGAGGGCCCTCTGCGGGCCTGTGGAGGGACAGGACAGCCGCTACCTGAGGGCGGGGGTGGCCTCTGCGGGGGCACGGGCCGCGCGGGAGGCGCCGTCGGGCGGGGCGGAGGCGGCCGCTTGGGCTCCAGGACCTGCGGAACGTCCTTCTGCTGCGACTGCGCGGCTGGCTGAGTGTCACTGGGAGAACCTGGAAAATACTCGGGGTGAGATCGGCTCCCACGCGGTGTGAGTGCAGCGGGGTGGTGCTTTCTGTGTGTGTGCCGCGAGTCTCTGTTCTGCTGTTTTCTCGGTTTGTACTGCAGCAGAACGCTACGCATTTTTAGGATCAATGACAGAAGCGGTTCTGCCAGTACATGCCCTTCTGTCCCTGCTGCCAGCAGTGCTGGCTGTGTGTGGACTTGCTCCCTCGGCCCAGCGCCGAAGGAAGGTGACTCCCTGCGTGTCCCTACCAAGGGGGCACGAGGCGCTGAGTTAGTTATGTGCGTGCAGCCTGCTGACCCGCAGAGAGGAAGAGAAGAGGAAGGGGTCTCTGCTTGTCTCTATGTCTCAGCTCATCTTGAATTCATTTAGTGAACCCACCTACTAAGAGGGGGACGGGCACACTGGCGACGTTTATGAAATGGAAGGTATTTTCTGAAGATGTTGGTTAGCATGAAACGGTGACTTACGCATGTGACAGAAACAGCTTCTAAAGACAAACCTCCCAAGCTGGGGGGGGGAATAATGACTTATGATTTCAATTAAAACAATCTGTTTTGTCTCTTGCTTCATACGATAACAAAGGCAATGCATAGATGTATAGCTAAGCCCAAATGGTGCGGCTTCGTGCTTTAACAGCAGAAAACCGCTGACTATGAGACAGGGACAGACCCGGCCATGCAGGAGAGGATGACGGGAAAGGCTCAGGGGGGAGGGGGCCGAGTTTGTCTCTGTCGAGGGCTTACCGCCCGTGAAGCTTCCTGTTCTGCATGCACAAGCCTGAAGCCCGCCTGGCACGCGGGGCCAGAAGTCAGACTAAGAGAGCTCTGCACGGGTGCGCTCAAGGCACCGGAGGCCTGACCATCTGCCATCACCCACAGGGACGGTCACACTGAACCCTGAATGCAATACGCACTCTGAGAAGGTGGGTGTCCGGGAGCTCTGGATGGCGCCCGGCTCGGCCGCATGGGCAGGGAGGGGCCCTCCGGGGCCGTGGGCGACTGGCAGGGGCTGGTGCGGGGCGAGGAGCTGGGGGACGTGCCGAGGCCGGAAGCCGCGGATGGCTGCAGGTGCTGGGGGAGAAGCTCCTCCACTTCAGCGCTGTAGTCGTCGACGTCACCTGGGGAGAAGCGAGGCAACCGGAGTTACTGTTTTCTTAACTTTCTCAGGGGGGTTCCCATCAACCCAGCTTTAAGGGGTTAAACACAAAATAAAGACGCTTGCACTACGGCTCTGAAAACATGCACAGGGTGAGCAAGCAGGTGTAGAGAGATGCACGCATGGAGGATCAGAACCCACGCTCTCACCGGGAACATGACGAAAGGCCCTCTCTCTTCCCAGGGCCGCAGGAGGCCACGGTGACAGCGCGCACAGGGCACACAGGACACTCTGCACGCCGCTGGGCAGCCGACTGCTTCCTGCTGCTCTGGGGCGCGGTCCCCGCCCTGCTCCGCCCTCATGGCCCATGGGCTCTGGGAGAGCCACACGCCCTCCCGAAGCCTCCTCAGCACCCCTCCCCAGGCCCCCCGCCGGCCCCACACTGCCTGTCTCTGCTCCAATGCTGGTTCCTTCTCCCCGAGGTCTCCTCACCTCTCCGACCTCAGGGCTGGAAGGTGGGCTGGGGTGCCCGACCCAGCGCAACCTAATTCGAATTCCAGAACGTGATCCTCACCGGCAAAAGGCCTATTTCTTGAGGGCAGAGCTGTCGGGAATTCGCTCAACACCCTCCACCTCCCCTGCAGTCACAGCCTCCAGCCTCCGTCCTTGCTGCGAACTGCGCCCGCCCACTCGGACGAGCTGGAGAGCGAGGCAGCAGGTGGCATCTTTCCGGAAGACACTGGAGTCCACACACACGCTCTCCAACAACCCAAACACCTTGGCCTTAGCTGGGCCTCCACGCTGCCCGCACCCTTCTGAAGGGGTAAACCTGACACTCCTTCCGACCCCACCTCCGGCTTCGGCCTCCCAGGCTCGCTCTCCTCTCCTGACTTCGCCAGGATCCAGGCCTGTGTCTCCGTCCGGCCCAATCCCGTTTGTCCTCAGAGCCCCGGTCCCACCCCGCCCCCCCAGCTTCTCTCCTGTGACCCCATGTCGAGGCTGGCACCCCGGCTGTAACAACCACACCCGGGCTGTGGGGAGGCACCACTAGAGAAGCCACAGGCCCGCTGACGGCGTGCAGTCCCAGCCTCGGCCGGGCCGCCCCTGCCCAGGAGCGCGCCCTCGAACCCCCCGCCCCCTGCAGGCTGCGGGCTGCCCTCTCCCGCAGCTGCCCCACCGCAGCCTTCCCGGAGGAGCGCGCAGTGCGCCCCTGCCGCAGCCTGCCCGGCCACGGGCTGCCCCACGGCTGGGACCTGCCCACAGGAGCGGAACAAGTGGCTCTGCCCGCCCCGTCCTCGGTGGCTGGCCTGGTGCCTCCTTCTGCGCCCCCCACCCCCCAGTAGCCTGCGTCCTGTCCCTCAAGCACCTCCCATTTCCAAACCACATTCCTGGACCCCCAGGCTCCCGGAGCGACAGCCGTCTCTCGCTCCCTGCTTCTGAGCCAACCTTCTCAGGGGACCGTCCCCGGGCTCCCCGCACTTCCACACCGTGACTCACCACCGTCTGGGGCCCTCGCTCCGCCGAGCGGCTCCTGCGAATGTCACCGGCCGCCCCCTCCTGCGCTCTTTAATTCAGGGGGCAGCGGCACCCTCCTCCCTCCTGTCTCTGTGACCCAGGTCGCAGGGCCTGCCCCGCGGGCCCTCCCTTCCCTTGGTCCGTAAGCCGCTGTGCTGTCCAGGCTCCCTGACACCGCGCAGCCCCCTCTTCTCGTTTCCCTTCCCGGTGCCCTCTCCGCCTCGACTTAAAGCCTGTTTCTTGGCCCTCCACCCCAGGGCCTTCTCTCCGCCACTACCTTGTCCCCTGGCTGAGCTCGTACACACCCACGGCTCTGACCGCCACCAGGGCTCCCCGCGGGCCGCCCCACAGCCCCCAGGCGCCCCTCAGTTCAACACCGCCAGAGCCGGATTCAGCCCCGCGGCCCTGCCGCCCCCGCCCCTCACGAGCACGCCGGCGCCACCGGATGGGTCCTCCACCCTTCACGCCGCACAGCCCTCTTCAATCCAATTCTCACTCAGTCTTCAGTCTCAGCTGCACAGGAGCCCCTCCGGGACACCTCCCCCAGCGTCCCAGATCTGAGGGGGTGCCTCTCCCAGGAGCGCCGCAGCGCGCCCCTCACGGCCCTGACGCCATGCGGTTTGAACACCCACGGGCAACGGCCGCTGACTGCCCAGAACCCAGCACGCACCGGCACGCGGGGCTCGCTGCGGAAGGGCGGGCCGCGCCCCCCGTGAGCAGAGGGATGTGACACACGGGGGACCCGGAAGGGGCTCGGATCTTACAAGCAGCGTCTAGATGCACGCGTGTCACAATGTGACGTGTCGTGTCATGTCATAGACGAAGGCATGCATTTTCATGGAAAATGGGCTAGAATACTACGCATGTAGAGCCAGAAAACAAATCATTTCTTAATCGTGCTTAAGAAACTTATTACATCCAGATAACCTGTCCCATATCTAAGCTTGAAATGGCTACATTTATTTGGGTGGGTTCGCTTTCGAACGCATGTGTTCCTAGCTAGTTTCAGAATCTCTTACAATTACTTTGAAATTATCCCCTTTTGTAGTAATTATTTTGAGCTCATTTCTGCTCTTCGAATACCCACTCTGACCTTCTACTTTTCTACTTTTACTGCTATTAGTGGGGCCCAACCAATGACCACCAATACCAGTTTGTGTTCCTATCACACAGGAACGTAAACTAACACTTGCAAGGATCTTAACCTTTGGATGGCAGAGTGGCTGATGCATGTGAAGTCCAGGTACAAGCAAAACAAGCACAGCACAGTGCAAACCAAACCCGCCGCTGCCCTGTGCGCGCCGAGCAGGACGAGGGAAGGGAACCGCGCGTCCAGAGGCGCACGAGCGAGCGCGCCCCGCCAGCGCACCTTCCATGTCGAAGTCGGCTGCCACCTCCGCGTCCTCCCCGAGCAGGGTGGAGCTGGCTGACGAGGGCAAGGACACGCTGATCTTCTCCAGGCTCATCTCCTCCTCCAAAGTCTTGATCCAGTCGGGACTTTTTAAAGTAATACTTACAGTCCGGCCCAGTAACTAGGTGAGTAAAAGAGAAGGTGAAGACACATCGGTATGAAAATGAACTCTCTTGCAATAAAGTGACTGCCTCAGTTGTGCAGGCTTCATTCAGTGAGACTCAAGTCAACGTGACTACCACAAAAGGATGAATTATGCTGTGTACCCTTTCCATAAACATAATTTTACAGAATTTTGGAAATCTTTGAAGGGAGCTAAATGCAGATACTGTCTAAGAGCATGACATTGATGACTAGACTTGAGGGTGAGGGACAGAGCTGGAAAAAACCATGGAAAATTAGAGAGCAGACTGGTAGCTTGGAGGGGGCTGGGGGCTTCGGGCTGGAGGGACCAAGAAAAAAGGAGAAGAAGAGGAAGAACATGGGCACGACAACAGCCTGGTGACTGGGAGGGAGCGGGGTGGCGGTGGGGGCTGGGGGAACGCTAACGAAGAAAATACAATAAAAACAATGTGGACCAAAGGAAAGTTAAATTAGCAGGAAAGACAAGAGAAAGAAAGGGAAGAAGAGCAGACCAGGAATGCCACTTAGGAGCTACACTTAAACATCATCACGGGCTGAGAAAGGCCATTTAAGAGATGAAACTGGAATATTTAAAAACCCGTAATTTACGAACGGTGACAGCACAACAGTCACAAGACACACGGGAAACGTCCCTGCAGCACACGGAAAAGGACGCGCACCCCTGGCGCCAAGCGGGTTCCCAGTGACGGCCGCCCGTGGGGCAGCAGCTGATGAGACCGACAGCTCGCCAGCGGGGGCGGTGCCAGAAATGGAAGAGGGAAAACGGCACGCACACTCTTCACACGGAAATGGCGGGCCGCCTCTGGGATTTCCACCTGCGTCCAAGTTAAATAACACCCAGTACTGATCAGGACGTTGGGCACTAGGTGGCCTGAGGCACAGCACAACCAGAGACTCTTTCTCAGGAAGAGTCACCAGCATGTGCCGAACGCGCTCGCTCCCTGACATGGCGCGTTCACGGGGTGGCGCTGGCCCCCAGGGACAGCAGGACCGCGCCACAGTGCCGCACACGCCGCGGTCCCCAGCCCGCGCGCTCTCCTGACCAGGGTTGGGAACGAGCTATGAGCATGGGTTTGGTTAACTGAACTTGTATGTTTATCCACATAACAAAACGGGAGCAGCCATCAACAGTGGCATGTGTGGGTTCATCCAGAAAGAGGGCATGCCACACACAGCCCCACGTAAACGAGGCAGCGAGAAAACAGCACGTGTAACGGGCTCCTGTGTGTGCGTGTGCGTGTGTTTCTCTCATTTGTGTTAACATATGTATATGTAATACTGTTTGTTCTACTATAAATATATAGTGCATACATGAAGGTTGAGAAAAATTAGTTCGTAATGGTAGGTTCACAAGTGGTCCTTATTATTTCTTTCTCTATACTTTTCTGTTTCCTGATTATTTTTGCATGAGTATATCATGATTACATTCAGGAAAAACCAGTAAGACACTACAAAACCTATTTCAAAAGCAAAACATGTGCGGACATTTTTCCTCCGGGAAGTGGAAGGACGGCATGGAAGGGCGCCCCGGGGGCTCTCACGGAGCGGCCGCTGCCGGGAAGGCCAGGCTTGGGTTCCGCCCGCCCTGTCGGGCGGCCATGTGCTGAGACATTTAGGGTTCGTCCTGCAGCACTCAGAAAAAGTGGAGACACAGTACTTCATGGAAGTAAAACGATCCCAGGCCGCTGACATAAATGTCTCCCACCCATGACATTTCCCATCACAGGTCAGGAATAGCTCTACTAGTCAATGATTTCTAGAATCCCATCCCCAATGGAATGGGTGTATTAACTATGGGAATTATTAGTGTTGATTTTTAATTTTTCGATTACAGTTGACATTAAACAGCATATTACGTAGTCCCAGGTGCACCGCACAGCGGTCAGACGTTCGCGCACCTTGTGAGGCGGCTCCCCTGGTAAGCGCGGCACCCACCCGACACCGCGCACACTTCTTACAGCGTCACCGACTGCGTTCTCTATGGGGGTTGCTTCACCTCCGCTTGAAAAAGGTGCCTGGGCACCGCTATCCAAGCCAATAAAACACGTTCCTAGGAGTGATGACTACCTTCCTTCCTTGTTTTTTGTAAATAAAGCATTTTCTTCATTTGATAGAACTCATCTACTATATAGATGAGCCAGAATATCTACACCGATTGTGAATTTCACATTTTTTTATATAAAAACTAATTAAAATCAAATTATATGGTAAACATGTTTTCTTCTTAACCTATATCCATGGTTAACGTCTATAGGGAGGGACCAAAATAATCCTGAAATAGTCAGAACCCTGGTCTAAATAATAAATATCACAGTACTCCATGAGGTCTCTCATCCTCCAGAACTGGAAATACATTTAGATAGTCTTGCTGTGTGTTTATAAAAATATAACCCTCAGATACTTATTACAGAAGAATTGAGAATCACAAATGCTGCCTTACCTCTTTACCATTCAGGCTTAGAACACTCAAGGCAGAACTTCCCTCCAAAAATGTAACCCACATTTTATCTTCTACAAACCTTCAAGAAAGAGAAACACAAATAATCATGGAACATAATTAACACCATAGACGTCACCAGCCCAGTCACCAGTCTAATGGTTTTGATTAACACGGGCCCATGGAGGCTGGGGGTAAAAAACTTGAGAGCAGCAGAGCGGGCGGTGGCCTGGAGGGGGCGCCCTTCCCTGAGGCATCCAACTCAGAGGTCCTTCTGAGGAGAGGGGAGCCCGGGGCGGAGCTCCGCTTACGATCCCTGCACGCCCAGCCCTCCACGGCACTGAGGTGGGGCAAAAAAGGCTACAGCTTAAATGGCTTGTTTCAAGTGACCTCACAGGGCAAACGAGACACAGGACTGAATCCAAGCCTCCTGAACCCACTGTCCAACATGGCATGTTTTTGTGTCCCGGCCACGTCCCTGCCTCTGACCAAGAAAGAAGATGGGGGGCCATCATGCCCGCCGATCCAGAGCTCCCCCAAGGTCCTGCTGGCTCAGGATCCTTGTCGTGAGTCACAGCTGCCACTTCCTGTCTTGGGACTGCAATGGCCTTCGCTGTGACTCAACTGGTAATTTTGAAATGAGAAATCCCAAGCACAGAAAATAACAAGGACATTAGGATGAATTCCAAAGAAGGTGGTCACCAACATGCACTGAGGTTACCACACACAAAAAGGCAAAAACAGCAGCATTATCCGTCCTACCTACAGAAACCGTTTTAGCAGTTGAAATGCTCCCGACTGCATAAACCAAGCGCAGAAATCTCTGCTGATCGGTCAGAGATGAGAACGCACACACAAGTACAGGTGTGTGCGCACACACGCACTCTTTGCCTAGGCTCCAAAAGTATGACTGTAGTAAGAGGAAAAGGCTAAAAACAAAAGTGTGCACAAATACTTGTCCAGTTCACATCAAAGGCCTGGAACTGACTTCCACAGCTGCTCAAACATGGCCGACCTCCTTGGCCCAAGGCCACGAAGCCGCAGGACACCGTCACCGCAGCGGTGGCAGGAATCGGGCCGCCTCAACGCCACGAAGGGGCCCTCTCTGACCTGCGGGCGGCGGAGGGTTCCCTCTGTGACCGGGAAGCGGCACTGCATCCCCACCCCCCTTATGTGTCCTCTGAGGCGGTCCCAAAGCAGTGTGGACACAGGGCAGGGCTACTTCTCGGTCCTGTCACTAAGTCCGGTTTTAATATCCACGGACTTTTGCAGGTCCTTTGAGAAGCTGTGTCTGCATCCCCTTTTCACTCACTGGTGTAAAAGCGTCTAGGTCCGCCCCCGCCCACCCCATGAAGATAAGCATCGCTGAGCACTGACTCCGTCCCACCCACGTTCCCAGGGAGCTTCTCGCTTACAGGTAACTTCAGCCACCCCTCGGTGGCAGTCTCATTCTAGACCAAAGGTGATAATCGGTTTAGCCTTACGGGGACAGGAGTCCTTTCCGTGCTCACTGTCACCGTCTGCTTTTTCTCCTCTAAGCTGCTTCTCTGTGCCTGGAGGTGAGGCGGCCCACCGTGGTTGCACGTTACCAAGATGCCTTGTTGGTTACCAATACTTCTCATGAGGGTGACAAGCACTGGGGGGCAAGTTTCTGGCTCCAATTCAGAGCCACGTTCTTTAGGGACAGCCGGGTCCTTCTGCCATACCAGCCCCCCTCTCCCCGCTCCGGATTCTTCTAGCTCAGTGCAATATGTTACATTTGCTCATAAGGACACTTGTCTGTACTTTGCTGCCCACGCACACAGGCCGCGCAATGCTCCTGGTGGCTGGCATTTCTGTGCTTGGCAAAGCCTGCTGTCATCTGCAAACTGGGAGATTTCACTGTGTACTTCCTGAAGCCTTAGGATTTTTAGAAATTTTTTGTTTCATTTTAAAGCTTTAGGTAAAGATCTTTGTCAAAAGATCTGAGGAGAGTCTAAATACAATCTCCCTTCAATTTGCTCGCTCATGCCCTGGAAGGCTCCAGGTTTCCCAGGCCTGTTCGTCACCCTGCAAGACCCCCCCCCCCCACCCCCACCCCCACCCCAATCCTGGGAACGGGTGCGTGCAGGTCCAGGACAGGCCTCGCCACACATGCACCCATCTCCCTGACGAGGTCGGCCAGGAGTCGAGCCCCGCTTCCCGCTGCCCTTCCAGTGCCCGGCACAGGGCGCTGGCCACCAGGCACTGACAGAGCACCAGCCCCGCGCGCAGATGAGCAGCCCAGAGCGGGGCCGGGCCATGCACCCTCCCCATGGAGCTCGAACACACGCCTGCCACTCAGTCTCTCAGAACTGCCGTCCACTCGGAACAGAACATCTTTCTAAACAACAGAAGAGGCACCTGTTCTGTAAACAGCAGGGGGTTAGGGCAATAATGGAAACCAAGTAGGAAATGGATGACCCCTGAGAGTTCTTCGGCCGATGATGTTAGGTAGCAATTAAATGAGTTAACTTTCGTAAAATATAACCTTTCTTAGACTGAGGACAGGAAAAATCCCCTCCACTTTACCCCTAGTCTCCTTTAAAAAATAAAACAGCAATCACATCTTCACCCTGTCCTGGCTCACATGTTACATTGCACAGCAGCCTGGGGAGGGCGCACGTCACACGTGCACATTCTGGTGACCAGCTGTCCATATAAAGTTTACTACTCGCCTTTACCTTTTCTAAGTAGAGAATTTGGTTTTAGAACCTATGAGCTCTTTGAATAACGTTTCTACAGTATAATTTTCCTATAGTTTGGAAAGGAAAATCTTCATATACTATTCAAACACTAAATAAGGTAACTTCTAACAGAAAATATGATTTGTGAGTCATGAGCTGCTTTTGAATAATAAATATTGTACTTACCTTATGAGTATTACTTCACCGAAATTTGTAAACTGCTGCAGAAGCTCATCAATCAAATTGTCATCGAAAAAACTATTTTCTGGCACGGAACTTTTGATTGAGACCAACACGGTACCATCCGGCGGACCCTGGACTGCAATGACTTCTTTATAAATGCTTTGCCTCTCTTCAGCTTCAACTTCAAATATATCTATATCTATCAGCGCGACGACAGGCCTTAGGGCATAAAGGAAGACAGGCACGTTAGAAATGCTTCAGAAAAGATGCATTTGGAAATGTCAAGCCCCATGAGGCACACTGAGACTCGAAACCTGTGGTCGGACGTCTTCAGCTCCGCTCTCCCGTAGTGCAGCAAGGTGCCAGGAGTCCACGTGTAGAGGATCTTGCTTCCATCCTGAAAACTGGCGTTGAGGAGATCCAGGTCTTCAGCTGTGTGGGGACACGAGAACACATGGAGGGGCCGCGTGAGCAGGACAGGCCCGGGGCGCAGAGCAGGCCTGGCCAGCCCCGCCTTCGGCCCAAGGCTGGGGGGCCACGGGCACGCGTCAGCAGGCAGGAGGGCCGCACGCCTTTACGCGAGGTGTTCTGGTGAAGTTATTGTTTTATGTTTTACTTAATAACAATTAAAATGAGGCTTTACTTCTGATACTTAAAGGCTGATGACCAAATAGGGTTTGGTAAATAATTCAACAAAGAAGTAGCATCTCCTAATAGTTGCAAACCACTTGATTCATGTTAAAATCTTAACTAGTAGTCAACTGAAAATTCCATGAAATGTTTTCTTGTTCTCTTTATGTGAAATAATATCACTGAAAGAAAACAGACTGAAAAATTAAATAATTAAAAGTCAGAGAATATTGTTAAAAATCTGTTTTATATGTAAATTTTATTTATTCTAGCCTAGGTAACCTTAGTTAGAAAAAACAAAGGGTAAAGGGGGTCAAACATAGGGTGCCGGAAGGAGCTGGGACTTTGGGTGGCGGGCACGCAGGGCGACGTACAGATGATGTGTCACAGAACGGCCCACTTGAAACCTGTATGATCTCTTTAAAAATCCTAACCTGGAGGTAGTTTTTTTATTTTATTTTTGTTTTTTAATCTTTAACTTATTTTATTTTCAGGGTTTATTTTCTATTGCATTTCTTCGATTACCAGCTGTCCCCAAGACCCTCTCCCACCCCCAGCCGCGCCCCGCCCCGCCCCGCAGTCCGGTCGGCAGCCCCTTTCTTTCTGGCTTGACCCCTCCACCCCCCACCGCCCAAACTCTCCGCCTGCTCTCTCTCTGTAAGTCTGTCTCTGTTTTGCTTAGTGGTGATTTTAGAGAGAGAGGAAGGCAGAGAGCGACCTCAACGTGAGAGAGAAACACCGACTGGCTGCCTCCTGCACGTGCCCTGACCGAGGATGGAACCCGCAGCCCTCTGGTGCATGGGATGGTGCTCCAGCCAACCGAGCCACCCGGCCAGCGTGATCTCTCCTATGCGATCTTATTAATCACTGTCACCCCAATAAACTTAATTAAACAAACACAACAAGTACAACGGGATGAGAGCTGTAAAAGTGACTGGCACCCACATCGCCCCTCGGCCGCCCAGAGCTCACACTGACCCACTGGAATGAGGAAGCCCCTCCCCAACCTGATCTGTCAAAGGGCCACTTCCTCCTCCTCCACAGGATGCGGTCTGTCCACGCAGGTGTGCGGCACTTCTCACTGGTGTCGTAGTCTTCAGAAAACAGGTCATATTTATACGTTGGAGCAAAGGTCACTTTTCCTTCTAAAAATCCTCTAAAAATCTACAACAAACATAAACAAAACACATTATTTCTGTACAAAGAATTAAAAGCGAAAGCTGTTTTCATTGAGGCAGCCATTCCTGCAATGTCTTAACAGGCTGAAGACTCTCCCACAGGATTTGTGCACAGCCAACACACACTTCTGACTGAATGGAACAGAGCCCAAGAAAAATAACCAGAAACGCGGTCCTTCCCACGCCCCTTGTTTGACCTTTGATCAAACAAAGTTCGAGAGCGTCCGACCTTGGCACTGGGAGAGACGGCCCTGGAAGGGGCTCTGGGAAGCACTTTGTCTGACGCCCTGTCCTCACAAGGGACCTGGGCTCCCCCCCCCCCCCGCCGCCCCCCGCACAGGCCCAGTGGCGCCCGAGGGCTGCGATGCCGGGCTGGACCCGCCCTATCGAGCGGCCACAATCTCCGCTACTCTGAAAACATTTAAATGGATTCTTCCAAAAGTTTGTGGCCTTAAGTTTTAAGAAATAAGTTTCAAAAAGGCAGATGAGATGAGAAATGAGCGAAGAAAAAAAATAAAGCTTATTACACAGAACCTTAAAGCCAAAAATCAGTAGCCATGAAGACAAAGATTCTAAATTCACTATTACTGGAAAAAAAGTTTATTCTTCTACCTGAAAGTTTATCTTATGAGGACATAATACATTTTTCCACCTGGGAATTAATGTGGGTTTTCCTTTCTTTTTTTTTTTTTTAAAAGCAAAGTAATTCTACATCTGTTAAACTGTAGATACATATTTATTAAGTATGAAGTGACTCCAAGAGACTGAAACAAGAGCAACACCACGACTTTAAAAAGCGTGCTGCATGGCCCAAGCGCCCCGAGGGCGCGCGTACCTGCCCAGCGTTCTTCTGGTTGATGAGCTGGTCCCCCGCTGTGAGCGAGTCCCAGTTCTGCTGCCTGACCAGCTCTTTGACTTCCTCATTGGGGAGGTCGATGCGGTAGTTGAAGTCACCGCACCAAAACACGTAATCGTGGGAGAACAGCATCCTGCCCTAGAAGCAAGGACATGGAACTGTAAATTCAAGTCGGCCCATTTTAAAAATGTTTGCAACTGCTTCCTTGCCCCGGGTGTGCCTGCCTCCCCATGCCCACGCTCTGTTCACGTGACCCTCTAGTGCCAGCGCACGAAGGCTCTGGTTAGGTGACTGCTGTTGGCATTTCTAGAAGTGCCTGCAGGCACTGGTAGCGAATTCGGGGAGCACGAAAACAGTTCCAAAGCTCCGGCTCAAAGAGACCACAGCGGGCACTCACCATGGGAAAGCTCAACTTCCGGACTATTTCTGCGAAGTCCTCGTTCCTCTCTTTGACCTGCGACTGGCCCGCAGCGAAGTGGCTGCAGACGAAGCACAGGCTGGTCGTGTGGAAGAGCATGCGGACGGCCACTGCGCCCTTGTTCCCGGTGGCGCCCCCCATGCCCGTCTTCACGGTGTCCACTGCCACGTCCCTGGAACACGAAGACCGAGATCTCACTGGGTCCCGGGGCACAAGAAATTAAGAGTGCGTATTACGTAATTCTAGAACTATGCGTGAGGCGGCAACTGCGGGGCAAGTTGTGAAATGGCACTGTTCTCACAGTTTCTATCAGTGACTCTTCAATCAAAAGCACATTGGAAAACAAGAACGAGGAGTACGGGCGCCCGCGAAGCGGCCACCGGGCCCGGCGGGCGGGCGCGGCACTGACCTGATGAAGGGAGCGTGCTGCGGCCGGATGAACACGAACAGGCAGACGCCCACCAGCTGCTCCGAGGCCAGCAGCACGTACTTGTTGTCTCGGGAGATGGTCTTCTGCAGCTCCACGGCCCACAGCTTCTGGTTCGTTGTGCTGCCAGGGCGGAGTACAAAGACACTGACGGGAGGCCTATCTCATAAGACAACTGTCCACAGCGCCATATTCTCCAATTTAACAAGGCTGCCGACAGTCAAGAAATCTACACCAACAACGAAATCTTTACACAGGCTGGTCTTTTGTTTCCTTTAAGAAGGAAAACCCAAAATTTAGCCAGGAGAACACACATTTCAGAATCTTACTGACTACTCCTTTACCAAGAAATTTAAGCTCACTTATTTTTCGAGTGCTCACCATGCAAGTGATCTCAAGCCTGTGCGCCCTGCGTTTGCCTTCAGCGTTCGCGAGGGTAATAGGGAAGTACGGGCGTCCAGATACACTCCCCCGCCTCCATTTTTCTGGATTATAATTAACACTTTAAAAAACTTACTATAGCAATATGTAAATATACACAAAAGAGACAATTACAAGCTAAATCACCATTCGCATCTCTTACGGAGCTTTGACAATGACCAACATTTGCCGATCTTGTCATCTCCGCCCTGTCTTTTCTCTGGGGCCGGAGGTTACCCTGGGGCACTTACAACCACCTCCGAGACACACGCCATCTAACCTGTGTGCGCCTCAGTGTGCGCCTCTGATGTAGGGGGACAGGCTTGTTTTCACACAGTCACAATGCCATTGTCACACTCACTAACGACACCTGCATGGGAGCTCATACTCAGCTCGTATTTAAGTTTTCAGATTTCCTAAAATGTTTTCTTCCAGTTGGTGTCTCTAAGACAGGGCCCAGCCAGGCCCACACACCGTGTTTGCCTGTTGTGTGTCCCTCGAACTTCTCTTCATCTTTGTCTTTCAGCCTCCCCTGCCCCTACTTAACTTTAAGAAGCTGGGTTATTTCTCTGTAAAATATTTAACAATCTGGGTTTGGCTGATATGTCCTCATGGAATCTTAGCTTGTCCTTCTCTCTCTCACATTTGTTTTAAACTGGTCTACATAGAAGCTTAGGAAACATTCAATATTATTTGTTTTGTCAAAAACCAACCAACCAACCAACCAACCAACCAGCCGTCACGGGTGGGACAGTCACGCCTGCCTGACAGCAGGAAGTCCATAATCTCTGCGACACAACGGGCTGCTCAGAGGGTGGCAACCTGAACTCTTTGCAACAGCAAGTCCCCCTTTTAATCCTTCTCCTAAGGTTTGAGCAACCTCTGACGATCACTGCCTAGATCATTATTCCACTGAGGGCCGCAAAATGTCGATTTTGCAATTTCGGCGTTCCACAGGCATTTGTAACAAGCTGGAATTCTTCTATAAAGAACGTTTCTCTTCACTTTACAATTACTTTGAAACAGCTCACACGAAGAAGGCAGGATGAATGCTTAAGTTTTTATCTACAAATTTTCAGGGTGATAAGCTTATGTCCATGAACCTCCAATGGAGAGCAAAACAAAACAAAAAGCCTTTTCTCCTTGTTCCAGATCACAGAAATGACAAGTGGCGTGCCCGACGGATGGCCTCAGTTCCATCTGTCTCACCTGCCCGCCTACCACGTCACACCCTGCCCCCCAGACACAGTCTGGAAGACGGGGGCTCTGCCCGCCACAGGCCCCAGGCCTCAGGCCCCGGGATGGCGGTTTCCGGCTCCTTGGCCAGCGCCCCCCGTCGAGCCCTCCTGTCAAGCAGGCCCTCCGCGGGCCCCACTGAGAACTGCACGCGCCTGCGCTGTGTCCACCTGTCTGCTTTCCGTGGACAGCGCTGCCCGCCTCCTGACAAGCCACAGAGCTCACCCACTGCAGTTACTGTTGGTCCGTCTCTTCCCACAAGAACAGAAGGTCCACCGAGGGAAAGGTTTTTGTCGGTTTTACTCATTGATATATGTATCTTTAGCACCTTGAGTAGGTACTCAGTAGATATTGGTTCTATCAGTGGTCCCCAGCCTTTTTGGTACCAGGGATCAGTTTCATGGAAGACAATTTTTCCACGGTCCAGTCTCTAACAGGCCATGGACTGGTACTGGTCTGAGGCCTGGGGATTGGGGACCCCTGGGTTAAATGAATGAAAAATCACTTCATTAAAGAGTAATTTGACTCAACTGTGTTTAGAAAACAATTACGCAATTTGGTAGTAGGAACCTAAAAGCGTGTCCTAAGACCGCAGGGTTTGTTCTCTGTTAAAACGCGCTTTCTGCGCACATTTGAAGGGTGCGCAGCCTTTCCGTGCGGAGAAGAGACAGCGCTCCGCCCAGAGCCATAGCCACGGCGGCTGTAAAGCACACGCGAGTGTCCACTGTGCAATCAATGTATTTTTTTCAAACAGCAAAATGGAGTTGGATTTCTTTTCTACTTCCTGGTATGAGCTGGTATTTACTTTGGCTGAGAAAGAAATTAGCATTTGTGAGACTGATAGTATACTATTTTAGCCCATAATTTTATTCTGAAAACCTTTTAAAATGCCATAAAAGAAGGGCGACCGCTCAACTTGGAAAGTGGGCACACTTGGTTAATGTGAGGCACTTCAGCGTTGGGTTTCACTCAGGTAATTGGCATTTGTCATAGGGCTTCACACCAGCAGCTCTCAAAGTGTGGTCTGGGAATACCCTGGGGTCCCCGGGACCCAGGAGCTCCAAACCACCCTCACAAACCTACTAAGGCAGCGTCCGTCCGTCCCGCCGTGTGAACTGACAGCTGCGTCGCTGTGCGAAAGCGACAAGGAGGCGGCACCAGACTGCCCAGGGCCCACCGCAGTCCTCGCTGCCACGCCCCCGCCCCCGAAGCTCGCCATCTCGCCGGGACAGTCCCGACAGAGCAGCAAGCAGCAGCTGTCAAGAGCCCAACCATGAGCCGCCTCTCTCTAGCCCTGCGTGGTGGATGGGGAATGGCACACAGCCCGCAGCTGGCCCCCACGTGTGACACGTGTTTCTTGGAAAAGCACTTGATAGTTAGAGTTGGGAGGTGAATGGCCATCTTTTTCATGGAGAACAATTTTTATCTGAAAGAACTAATCACAGTCAGAATTAGTATTCAGACTTACGTTATTCAGCAAACACTTTTTTTGACCAATGTTATCTTTTCAAGGGGAACACCTGATGGTATTTATTTCCAACGGTAAAACATTTTGAGTTTTTAAGCAAAACTGAGAATTTTGGAAAACCTGCATGTGCTACGATGCTCATGACAGCTTCCAAATACTTAAAAGAGTTTGCTAACAAGATCGGCGATGACAGCAACCAGTCGGCTGCTCTGACACTGCACAACGAGATGTGCCGCTACGCGGAAGGTCCGTGCAGCCCAGCGAACTGACGGTTTCCAGACCAACAGCAGGTGCTGTCTCACACAGGTCAGTAAACGCTAGTATCTGCGCGGACGCTGGCGCCGGTGGCTGTAGAGCCTGCCCGGCCACCGCACTCTGAGCAGCTGCCCCGTTTGCAGAGGTTTGCTGTGGTCTCAGAGAAGAGGCTGCCGGAAAAGCCTGTTAAAATAGCCCCCTTTCCAACTACATATTTATATAATTCTCTTCATACACTTGAACCAGAACAACGTCATAACAGCCTGAGACGGACGTCAGTGTGCGACGCCAGCTGTCTTGGGCTAGATGGTGGAGAGACTTGTAAACCACGAAACAACACTGTCCGTCTCGTAAACTTTTGTTTAGGAAAAAAAATGTGTCCTTTATGTGAACACATAATGGGTTTCTTATTGTTATTTTTTAATGAATTTAGTGTTTTAAATTTTGCGTTTTTAATTTCTAATGTGATAAATATCAAGAGATATAACCCATAAAACCAAAGTTCTTTAAGATTTTCAGTATTTTTAAGAGTGCAGAAAAGATGTGGCTACCCAAGTTTGAGAAGCGCTACGTTACAGTGTTAAGAGGACCCTTCCATATGCCATCTCAGTCTCTCCTCACAGCGACGACTTGGTTACCTGCCCCCCACGTCCATCAGCTAGAAGACTCTCCCTGTCACCTTGCTGGCTTACCTCGCGTTCACAATGTTCCCGGCGTTCAGCTCTACCATTTCTTCAAAGCCGATTGCAAATATGTCAGTTGGCTTACTTCTTTTGTCTACAATTAGGCATCCAAGACAGACTCTTAAAATACAGCCTCAGTCAGACGGCGCCCCCGCCCCCCCACACACCGCGGCAAAGGTCGACACCGGCTCTCGTGAAAATTCATTTTTGTGTTTTAAGTTTAACCAAATTGAAATTGAAGGCAAAAACCGATGAGCAGGATAAAATGATTTTAAATTTACTTTCTATTCAGGCATCCTAAGTTTGCTTCTATAAGATTGTGCGTCTAGAAGACCCTTAAGTCCTTTCAGAAATCATCTGGAAAGGATCCTTGGTGAAGTTTGTACCGCGGGCAAAGGAAGCTACTTCTACAGGGCTAAAGTGAATCAGCACTGGAGAGTAAAGAGCATTTTCAGAAAAGGCTCAGACAGTAAAGTGGCTGAGCAACCAACTCAAGTGAGAGAAAGCTGCTGGGAGGGAGGTTTCAGGTTCACACTCGGAAACCACAGGCGCGCTCTCGCCCGCACTTCCGGGGCGAGAGACGCCCTGGAAAACCAGGTGGCGCTCCGCGGTCGGGGCGCAGCCCTTGGCTTAGCGTCGGCTCTCTCGGAGCGGACTGGAGCTGAGAGGGAGAAGGGATACGCGAGACAAACAGCCCAGGGGCACTCGGGGCGGCCCGAGCACTAGTTCCGAAATGAGCATAAATAGCCAGGAAGAGCCCAGAGATATGATGAACTAATACTGAGAAGTAAAAAATAAAAATATGTATTGACTGCTGTTCTACACAAGGCTCATTACCTGTCACTGAATTTCATTATCACACAAGTACTTTAGAGTGGGATTAATGATGCCTTTCATTTTCAGACAGGACACAGGGCTCTAGAGAAGGCGGCACTGGCCCCAGGCTCCACAATGAACGCACGTGGCACCAGGACCGGGACCCAGGCTGCCCGGGCTCCGGGGGCCCCGGCCCGGCCCCTGCGGGCCTGGGCCGCACTGCCCGTGCCCGCAGGAGGCCTGTGAGAAGGGCCAGACGAGCGGGTGTGAAGCGCTAGGAGCGGCGGTGTGAGCCGTTCCTTTACTACTGTTGGAGCTGCCACCACTGCTGCAAGTTGGGTTCGAGGTCAAATGTGAAAAGGGGCAGTTTACTAAAGGTGGGGGAATCCCCAGGATTTAAGATGTGATGAGTAAAGATGACTAAAGAAGGTAAAATTCGTGGTCTCCTTTAAAGATACCTATGTATGAAGGGACCCTATTTCCTGAAAACCAAATATCAAAGGAAAAGATATTTCACCATTACTTTCTTATGAAGTAGAAAATAAAAATCTAAGAAGAATGTAAGCTTTTGACAGATTTGATCTATAAAAATGTTGGCCTTCAGACTGATAAATCCAAGCTCCTTTTAAAAAGTAACATATATTATGAAGAACTACATTGTTTTCTAGATGAAGAAGAAGTCAGGATTTATTCATTGAATCCATACTATAAAAAGCCAACCTTGGAACTCCTGGACACCGGCCAACTTGGGTGCGTCAAGGAGCCAGTCAGTGAGTGTCTGGTTCTTAAAAGCTATGCTGCGGAACTGCTTCCCGCCGTTCACATTCCACGTTCCAACACACACGCGTATTTTCTTGGGCTTGGAATACTTGTAGAAATTCTCACACATGCTCTTTAGGACTTTAGAAGAGGCTAATAAAAACAAAACACAATAGAATGTTAACGGCATTACAACTGTTAAGACTGACTTTCGTAACCGAGAAGCAGAGTCTGGAAGGCACCGCCGCCATGGCGCACAGACAACTGCCAGGCGCATGCACAGGCACGAGGGGATCGGCCCGGACGCAGGGCCCGGCACCATGCGGCGGGCTAAACACAGTTTTAAAAAGTCACATAAATACAATCACCAAAGTAAGAAAAGCTATTGTAGCAACACAAAGCATGCAGAACAAACAGTTCTGTTTCAGTGAACTGCTACGTTGTTTCATAAGGCACAAAATGAGAGAGAGTAGGTTTTAGAAATATAGCAATCAACTTTCATGTAACTTTCATTCAAAGGCTGGTAAAAATATAAATTTTACTTCTCCCCGAACAAAAACACTGAAGAACATGTACATTTAAGATTCTAGCTAAGGACAGTGGGCCGGTGAATTACAGTTCCCTGACAAAAATACAAATCGTGGTGTTAATGAGATGCTGCAGAATGAAGGTGCTGCTACCTGCTTCCCAGCTCACTCGGAGCAGAAGCCGGCTTCTCGGCTGCGGTCTGGGCGCCCTCCGCGCTTTGCCCTGCCTTCCTGCGCTCCCCTGCGACCCGGTCCCTGGCCACTCCCTGCACCGCCCAGCTGGGCTGTTTCAAAATGAAGCCAGGCCCACGCTCCCCGCCGCCCCCACCCCGGGCCCAGGCCTTCACACCGGCTCTCCCACCGGCCACAGAGGCCCCCCACGCCCGCAGGCCTTTCCTCCCGGGACGCTTGCCTCAACCGCCTCAGTACAACCTGCCCCCTCCCCAGCAACCCACCTCTCCTCCCCGCTTCACTTTCCCCTTTATCATTGATCGCTCTCCACAAACTGTGCCGTTTCTGTCTTTATCGCATAGCTGTCCTCCCCCTTCACGAGGATGAAGTCTGCGTGAGGGCAGAGATACTGGCCTTTGTTTCCTGCTCCACCTTAGTAACGAGTAGCTGGTACATAGTGAGTGCTAGATAAATAACTGTTCAATGAATGAATCTTCAGCACACTTGACACCTTCACCCTCTTCCCCTGCATGTCTTCTGGCTGCCGCCTGTTTCTCCTCCCTCTGCACCGCGCTTCATTCGGGTTACGTTGAAGTCCTGGCACTGCAGTGGGGAGAACCTTAAGAGAACCTTCGCCTGACAAGAGACTATGCACTTAACTGGCCCGGAACTGGTCAAAGGAAAAGAGAATCAAAATGATTCTCACCTTTTACCACATGATGTTATTTCACTCTCTTATTTATTTGACGATACCAAGACTCAGCAGCCTGGTGAGAGAAGGGGAGCGAGAGGGGCCTGCCGTGTCGGCACCGCCTCCGACCCGGGCCGACGAGCAGTGCTCGCCCGCTCGCTGCCTGACGCCACTTCTCGGACGGCGGTGCCGGGGACGAACGCAGATGGCCTGCTCTGGCCGGCCGCCATGGCTGACTGGAAGCTGGCTGTACCTAGATCGCCACTGGTCTTTGTCACTGAAGTCACTATCACTACTATGGAAACACCTCCTGCAGTCCTTTCTAAATCAAAACACAAGTTCTAGAATGATCTAACAGCTTAAAATAATCACACCAAGACAAATAATGAATGGTATGAACAAAGTCAGTTTATAAATGGAATAGAAAGTTTTAAAAAATCCTGTCTTTTTCTCAACTGCATGGCACCTTAATGCGCAGAAGGAAGCCAGGCTCCGTTCACACGGAGGCCTCCCGGACACCGTGCCACCGTTTCAGGCCGTGGATCTCACTACGCAGCTCAGAGGCACAGGAAGCACTCTCTTCCTCCACCCTCCTCAAAAAGTTAACCAGTTTCTGAAAACGTTCAGAGCAACAACTTAGCAAAACAGATCTGAAGCGAAGGGAAACAAAGATGTCTTTTTCCACTAAATTTCTGGTAAGAGTTTAGATTTTGTTCCCTTCGCCACAAATTCATGTTTAAAGACAAGATCACAAACTTTGTCCAGAAAATAAAAGCATGAAATTCCTATGAATAGGAAAGGTAAGAGAAGAATCACCTTTCAGTCTTACATGCTTAGCTCTTCTAACTGTGTTAACAACTTGAGGCTTTTTAAAAGCTTTCAGATCATGTATCAGTGTGGGTCTTAGAACAGTGACAGAGACGGTTTCACCCACAGGAGGGAAAATGAGTCAGCACCTTCCCAATGCTATGTGAGAAACGCCGCTGAGTGATCATAAATATCACCGGTGTGCTCTGCAATTAACCCAAAATCGTCACATCTGGGCCTTTCCACCAGCATATTAGGACTAAGGTATACCACTCATGTTTGTTCAATACATTATACAAGTGAGAGTAAGTCTAGGTGAGCGATATTTAATTGGAATTTAACATTTGCTATAGGGTGACAAAAAGCATTGCATATTTCCTTCTAAGTAGTTTTCTCAAACCTAAAACTTTTTTTCTCATGTTGAAACAAGGTATCCATTTGTGCTGTTAGGATCTGAGGGAAAAATAAGAGAAAGTTTCCATTTGTATGGTTTTATTTGTTCACAATATCAATTTTAGAAAAATAAAAAAATGCTGCTTGTATGTACAGACTGGTTCTCTATACTGTACCTGACTGCAATGTCTGCTCAGAAACTACGGATGCGTTAAGAAGAAAACAGAGAGGCATTAGTAAAACAGCAAGTCACAGTTAAACCCAGTGTGAAGACAAAGCATTCTACGATGGCTTCATTTCTTTCTCTAAGTCCATTTGATGACTTTATTTTTTCTGATGGCTATAGGACACCAAAAATTAAAAATAAAGGGAAACAGCTGACGCAAACTTCCTGCACCTGAGAAAACCCCTGCGGCAGCTGGGGTGCGCGGAGGCCCCAGGCCTGCCCTCGGGCTGGCCCCGTGCGTGTGTGGGAGTGGGCGCGTGAGCGCACACGTGTGAAGGAGACTAGGCTGCTGAACGCCTGAGAGGCCGGAGGATGCCGGCCACAGCGGGGTCGCTGCCCTGACTCACGCCTTTTCGGATCCTTTCTGGGACCCGCGTCGGTGAGTACAGGCAAGGCAGCGAGAACAAACCGTGTGCATTCCAAACCCCGCCGTGCCAGGACAGCGCGCCAAGCCCCGCAGCCGCAGGGCTCGTGGGAGAACCGGGGTGGGGCCGAACAACCGCACCGGCGGTGACGTGCCAGAAAACACAGACCTTAACACAGTGCCGGCCCAGCTGCACGCGTCGCCTGGTTGAGGGGCGCGCGAACGCACCCCGGGTGTGCCTGCAGGAACGGCCGGTGCTGCGGCCGTGCGGAGCCGGGAGCGCGGCCGGACCCAGCACGGCCGGGACCCGAGGCAGAGGCCATGCCGAGGTGTGAGTGCACGTGGCGTGCGCGTCTGCCCCGCTCCGTTCCGCGAGGCCGGCGGTCCGTGTTTGCCGGTGTCGCCGCAGCGATGTGGCAGTACACACACTCAGAGTGTCCCCTAAGACCCCCCCACACCGGGACAGCGCCCACGCTCAGAGTGAGTGTTAGGTCAGGACTGGCTGTGGTGTTCAGGGCGCGTTGTCTGTCTAGGAAACGATGCCGGGAACTAAAACGCTGATGACCCAGTTTGGGGATGTTCTAGGTCCTCGCTTTTCCTTTTCTTTCCTTCGGGGGCTTACTGCCCCTGCCTCTGAGTGATGCCTCCCGGCCAGAGCAGGGACAGGTGCAAAGAGGTGATACGCGCAGGTCGGGACTCTCCCCGCGGAGCCGCAGGGCGGCGCAGTCCCCGCGTGCAGGGCCCGGGAGCAGCTGCGGCCGGCGGCCGGGGGGCGGCTCTGAGGGGTCCGCGCGCACCCGCCTGCCCAGGAGATCGTCGGAAAGCTCGCTGCCTGAGGGGACAACTTCTCCTACTTGAACTGGGAAAACATAAAGGTCTATGTGGAGATAACAGAAGAGATAAAAATGTTCAGAGTGCTGAAAAGTTAAATAGAAAAAAATATGGGGTAAGGAAGTCTAATTTATTAAGTTTTACCATGAATGTTGAGTTTTCCCATGATTCTACTTAATATGTGTTCACTGATATGAACGCAAATTCTTTTGCTTTTAATAAAAGACACAGTAGGAGATGAAAGCTACCCTGAAACTCACAGTTATGTCCAATGTTAAAATTGGGAAGTTGTATCCGGTGATAAGCAACATTTTACATTATTAGAATAACTTGATATTTATTCAAGCAATAGCAATGAAAGGTAATAACAACTTATAGAAACTTTTGGGGTAATGAGTAGCAAAATAACCAATATAGGCATTGGTTTTTCAATAAAACATTTGTTCACTACATACTTAAGCTACTGACTGCTCTACTGGCTGAGCCGTCTGTGAAATCCTGCCTTATATGAAGTTAGCAATAGTTCATCCTCCACCTTCCCCCTCAGTCTATAGCTGACCAACACCACGGAGCATATAAATGTTTTGTAAGAGATAAACTTCCTATGGAGAATGCAATTTTTAAAAATTATTTAGAAAGAACTCAGTATCCTTCCAAACCTATTTTAATCAACTCAACCTAAAAGTTATTTATGTCAATAAGTTTACATTTACCTCTTGGGCTTTTAGAAGAAATATACAAATAACATAAAGGAAAATAAAAGTACGCATACCACGCAAACTTCCAGTAGTTAAAAGTGCTCGAGCTTTGTCAGCTAAATCACTATTTAGAGTATTTCCCAGGAGCAAAACATCAATGGCCTCTTGCTTGGAGCTGTCAAAGAAGTTATTTTGAATCGTTCTAGTAACAGAACGAGCACCATCTTTTAACTTTCCAGCCTGTTGGGGAAAAAGGAGCACGGACTTTCATTCTAAGCACTGTTCTTTTCCCTCGGCAGGTATTTTGAACTCTTAAGTTTTACACCATTCCCCTGTGATAAAGGGTCTAATTGTTCTATTCTGAGTGTCAAATCATCACAGTAGAGGACCCAGGTGTGGCTGTGCCCCTCCCCGTCTGGATGGCCGCTCTGCACGGAGGGAGAAAGCTCAGCGTCACCTCCGCGACTGCGCACACCGTGCAGGGCACGGGCTCTGGGGAAAGCACACTGACTGGCCGTGAAACAAGATCCCTCCCTGCCCCGTCACTTTCAGACACGGGCAGGGCAGGGCAGGGCAGGGCGATCAAGGCCACCACACTGCACTCCCACGCTCTCAGAGGAACTGCTAAGGGCTTTAGTGGCAGGAAATAAAATTGAAATTGTTCCCAAATTACTTCATTAGTCACAGCTATAACTGAACATAAGGAAGGTCTAGTCTAAAAAGAAATTTGTAATTAGAGTTCATAACTATATATTACATGTAAACTATAGTCTGTATATTTTAGGGCATTTTATTGCCTAGATACATATAAACAATAAAAATAATAAATTTATGCTAATTCTTACAGTAACAGAGTTTACATAACTTTTATTGAACATATATTTTGCTCAGGCACAGTAGTTACCGTAAGGCTTTATTCTGATCTTACATATTCTGATAGTTGTTTTTAAAAAATCAACTTTTACGTTTTAGGAAAATACTTTAGTTTTCAGTACATTCCTTAAAGAGATAACAGTTCTGAGGCTTAAAATGTTATACTCTTCCATATGATTCCATAAACAAAGGACATTACTTGAAAAGACACTCACCATTCACATTATCGGGCAATTAATCAAAAGGAACCCAGAGAAAGGAAAAGAAAGAACAGTTCAGATGTTAGACTTTAGTTCAATGCAGACCAGAATATTAACATATGAAATTTCTCAGCTACCAGGCTAGAGATGAAAGACCACTCCCAACCTATGTAACCTCCCTATTGCCTTAGCTGCTGCAGAAACAAAAAGGGAAGAGAACATAAAAGAAGATTTTAAACAACAGTTGTAGGGAATCAGGTTTTAAGAGCAAGAATTATGTTCTTTATGTAAAAGAAATAAGTGAAAGTTTAACAATTTCAGGTTTTTAAAAACAGGGACCATTTAAGAAGAAAATGTTGTCGATGTTAATACATGTTATTTCCACAGGTCAAACAAAAGAAGCTTCCGCAAGCGAGCGGGCACCTCAGGGCATGGGCACGCCTTCCATCAAACACAGGAGAGGCGGGGCCTGGGGCCGGACAGGGGGTGAATGGTCTCCACAGAGTTTCTCGCTTGTTACAGGGGAGAAGCCGAATGAGAATACGGAAGCGGTAAATGTCCCTGTTCCTGTTCTGGAGTAATTGAGGAGCTGCAGAGACAGCTGGGGCCAGGAGCCTTCGCGAGTCAAGGCTATTGTCTGACATAATAAAAACACCCCAAGTGTTTTTATGCTTCCAAAGCCCCCCAGCGCGGGGCCGGACTCCCGCATGGGAGAGCGTCTTCCGATAATACCAGCCATTAAAAGGTAGTGATGAGGCACAGGGTTGTAATTAAGTCCGCATCTCACATTTTGATAGTCTCCTTTTCAAGGTGAGGTAAGTAAAAGAATAAAAACTTATTAATCAGGCCCTAACAATGTTGGGTTCATAGTCGGTGTTGCATGAACTGTCCACTATGGACTCGTCCGTCCAGCGTTTGTCACATGTCTATTAAATAGTAGGCACTATGCCAAGTGCTGGGGACCCAGCCAAATAAGATAGAACCCTTTACTAAAAAGACTATCATTTTGAAAAATCATGTTTATAATCAAATAAACAGTATAAAAAGTAAAACAAATATACAAGGGAAAAATCAGGAAAAAAGGTAAGCAATACATATGTAGGCCTAGTGGATTATCACTAAGTGATTATGTATCATTAACCAATCCCCCTCCCCAAACCTAGGGGAAACCTGCCTTCTGTTGACTCATGCGCACCAGGACAGAAGGAAGAGTTAAAGAGGAATAAAATATGGTGAGACAGAATTTCTGTTAATTTAAAAAAAAAAAAAAAAAAAGGCCCTTCGCAGGCTTCACGGGGTGAGGAGGGCGGGCCTCTCTACATGACGGGCAGCGCTCACCTTGGCCTTCCCTTCCAGAGCCCCGGTTCCAGCGTAGATCTTACTGATCGAGTCTCCGTTCACAGACCACATAGACCGGAACACTTCTTGGAAGCGAGTCACCAGCTGAGGCTTCTCAGCTAAGCCCAGAGCTTCCAGCTGTTTAGCTAGCATCTAAAACAACAGAAGAGAAACTTTTATAACTGTAGGAACACCCTCATTGTGACGTGACTTCTTTTCATTTCTGTTTTTGTTTATTGCCATTTGTCTCCCCTACGCCCTCTTTCCCCTCCGCCCCGCCCTGCGATCACTGCACGGCCGTCCACGCGCCGTGACTTTTTGAGGACCACGCGAGGTAAACTGAAAACCTGTACTTCCAGGACTACGTGGGGCTGGGCTCTGACATAACAGTTCACTGGGCTCATTGTGTCGTTTCCCACTATTTCATTTTGAAAGTAAACACCATATCGATATTCCATGTAGTAATACGAACATCTTTCTGGTTACGTGATAAAATTAATCTTATTAAAATATCCCTATAAATCATAGTACATTACGTTATTCACCTGAAAGAATGAATTACTCAACAGCATGCACAAGAGCAGAGGGAAAATATTTACCTAGTTTATCTAAATATATGCGTGCATGTGTAGAAGAGCCAAGTGTCTTTAATTTCTGGGTTTGGTTCTCTCCGTTTGGGTGGTAAGGTCAGGAGGTTACGGGGAACCAGGGCTGCCCTGAACTGTCACGGCCACACAAACCACCACCGGTGGCGAGTGCGAAAGGGGGCGCACGGAGCACGGCAGGCAGCCTGCACGCCCCCGTCACGGACAGCGGGGCCAGCGCGCAGGCCCGCGGCGGCTCTGGGCTTGGAATGAGCTTTGGGACTGGGCAGGGCCAGAGCAACGTGCGACCTTATCCAGCCTGCTCTCCTGCGTGGAATCCAGTCATACTGTGAGCCTCGAATTTTACTTCCCTCCTTCCTATTTGGGTTTTCTTTTACCTCATCTGTAAGTGTGGAGACTGCCCTTCATTGCTGAGGGATCAGAAACTCGGATCCTGTAAACCCCTAAGCCGGGTCCGGCTGCCCGGGGACGGGTGACAGAGCCGTCTCTGAGGCGTTGGGGGGGGTAGCGAAATAAGCCTCCAGAACCCCCTCCCCGCTGAGATGTGTCTCTGTCTTCAAGAAGCGGGGCAAAAACGCCCCAGCTGGTGCGGCTCCGTGGGCTGAGCGCCAGCCTACGAACCAAAGGGTCGCCGGTTCAATTCCTATTCTAGGGCACAGGCCTGGGGTGCGGGCCAGGTCCCCAGCAGGGGGTGTGCAAGAAGCAACCATACACGGATGTTTCTCTCCCCCTTTCTCCTTCCCTTCCCCTCTCTAAAAATAAATAATTAAAAAAAAAAGATATTGGGCAAAACTGGTTGTCACTACAAGTGTGTTTTGCCTACTTTACCAGTAATTTTGGTAACCATTTAACCAATTTCTATATGAGGGATGTGTAGAAGAGCTAAGTGTCTTTAATTTTTGGGTTTGGTTCTCTCCGTTTGGTAACTCCCAACAGTGGATGACCAGCTAAGTCGGATTCTGAAAACCAGGACCTGTTCATCATACTTTTAATGAAGACTTTCATGTCTTCTAGCAAGTTCACTCTCAGAAATCTAAGCAAATGCACTCGACCAGTTAAAGAGAACTGGAAACACCCAAGCCACGTGATAAACTCCATCCAAATGGCCAAAGCCTGCTTTCACTTTCCTTTTCTCTGTCATATTTTATAAATAAATTATAGTAATAGATCTCAATGACAGAGTTCAAAAGAGGCAAAACAGTAAGATATATTCAGTTACTTGAAAAAGACATTTCTTCAGTAGAGAACTCTATACATTGTAGCTTCATTTTTGAGAGAGAAGAACCCCCAGCTGCAGAATAACTAATTAACCAATATTCTGGTCAAATGTAAGATCATTAACTGGAGGAAATAAGAACATGCTATTGGGTTGGCCATAAAGTCCATTTAGTTTTTTTCCGTAAAAGACACATTTTTCATTTTCACCAGTAATTTTATTGATTTGGATCTTTGGAGTATGTCAGCTGTCTCCGGCATTGTATAATGCTGATCCTCCTCAATCAATGCCTCGATTTGATCGCTATCAACATCAACTGGTCTACCCAACCGTGGAGCATCATCCAGTGAGAAATCTCTAGCATGTAACTGTACAGACCACTTTTGACATGTTCAGTCACCGCACCTTCTCCATATAAATCTTTTTTGCATTACAGTTGCGTTTTTATCTTTCTTAAAATAATAAAGCATAATATGCTGAAAATGTTGCATATTTTCTCCCATCTTCAATATTAAAATGGCTACACAAACATTCACCAATTTTGATAGCTTTTTTTTAAACGCATGCTGATATGACAGCTGGTACAATACAACCTAATGAAATTGTTCTGAATGAAGTTAAAGACAGCTGAGCACTACTGGAGCCAGCTTATGGGGGAAACCGAAAGGACTTTTTGGCCAAACCCCCCCCCCCAACACTTCTAAAAGACAAGCAAAAGAGGCTACTATTGGAATAGCATGAACTGCAGGGGTTGTTTTAAAAGGGAAAGTTAAGAAATAATAGAGGGAAATAGTGACACAGGAGAGTATTGAGAGCAGGTAAGAGGAAACATTTAAATGACAAGGGATTTTGGAGGAAAAAAAAAAAAAGAAAAAAGAAAACCAGAAAAGAATGCCTTCAATGAAACCTGACCCTGTTTTGTAAACAGTCCTGAGAAGCCACCCCAGAGGCACTGAGGCACCGCGCCTGCGCCCCACCCCCCTGGCCCCACCTCCAGGCCCAGGAAGGCCTGCACGCTGTTGGTTCTGTCCAGACAGTCCAGGCAGTTTGTGCGCACGGTGCCACTCTGGCCCCTGCAACAGAGTCACCAAGTCAAACAGTTCGTTTGAATCAAAAACAACTGAAGTAAAACAAACTGAGAAAAATTAAGGTGATTAAAAGTTAGCACCCACATTCTTCCCTCAACTTTCTACTATTACAGTTTTCAAACATACAAGAAAAGATGCAAGAATGTTACAGTGAATATCCATACACCAACCAGATCCTACAACTGCTAATATTTTATACTATCTTCTTTATTATGCATCTACTACCTACGCATACACGCCCACTTTTTAAAATTAGGCCAGCAGTTAGGAGCTAAACACACATCCAGACTCAAAACACCATAGTTCTTTGCACATAAAAGATACCAAATTTTTAAGGAATGAATTTTAAAAATCTAAGATGTTATTTCTACTGATTGTCCTAGAAAATTTCTATAGCATCGATACTAAACACTGTACACTGAAAAAACAAAAAAATGTGAGCTTTGTTTATTGAAGTTTACCTCAATCTATGTTCTTAATTTCAGTCTTTCAATACTTTTCTCCTCGACTTGATATGCAAAAACTGCAGCTTTAAATTATACAAAAGCAGACAGCAGGCAACATCCTTTATTTCTATTGGCATTTGGCCATCCGTCCTTACGGAGGTCAGGAAACGTGAGAACCTCCGTGCTGAGGGAGCAGCGGGGCAGGCCCCTCGGCGGCCACGGCCACGCGGACCCCACAAGGACCCAGCCCAGACAGTTCCCAGGCACCTGCCTCAGCGGAGCCCGGGGGTGGGAACAGAGCCTGGCCCTGCAGGTGCTGTCACTGAGACGTGGGGGACTGAGGACACTGCCCGGCCCACAGCAGGTGCCCAGTAACATATTACTATGACTTCTTGAATTTTATAGGAAGAAAAATAAGCCTAAAATCGAGCACGATACAGAAAGATACTGTCATTATAAACTTTGACTTTAAAAAAGGAAATTTAAGAGTTCCACGTTAAGAATAGTTTTTAAATTACAGCAAAGTTCCAATTTAAAGAAATGAGAAAGAGCTGTCAAACCTTTGAACTTCACTTCCGTCGAAATGAAAAAATCCATAATCTAGAAACTTCTGGACTTGAGGTTTCAGAACACTATGTAACTTTTCTGCCTTTCCTCCTTTAACCATCTGATGATAGTCGAAATTCACCATCTGGACATCAGCGGCATGTTCAGAAGCTTTCAAATGACTCTGAAGTGAAAAGGCAAACACTCATCGTATGTTACCTGAACATGGTCCCGGCGCTGCGGGTCACAAGGGGAACCTGACACTCTAAACTGGGGCCCCGGCAGGGCTCCCCGCGAGCCCACTGATGTCGCGAAGCTCTCACCGATGCCGGCAGCGAGCAGGAAGCCCTCGGAACGTCTAAGGGCGCGCTTTTCCTCACCGCGCCTCCTCTCTCCGAGGAGAGTCGGTGGTGTCCTACCAGGGAACCTACAGAATATCCTCATCTGATTTAGAAAATGAAAGTATTTACAACCACTAGCACTTCATTTTTCACAATTCAAATTTAGTATCTGTTTATATCTATCATAGAATCTCAAAATGAAGTGACTTAAGACAAAGCCTATAAAAGATACGAAGTTCATTTTTTATATCTTAGTTCAAAACACACCAAATGTTTTAAAAATTTACCGTAAAGTCACTCTGTAAAGTATAATCTATTAAAAATGTTTATCGCACAAGGTTAAAACAAAATGGCCAAATAATTAATTCTGAAGTTCATTAGATTGAATTTAAGATGTTTCCTAACCATTTTGTTTATGCTTCTAATTCTATGCAACATCAGATTTATATCAATTATTGATTCAATAAGTGTTCATGAAGAATATTTTTTCTTGAGAGGTCAGAGGTTTGTTTGGGCTCCTTTTCACTTGAAACTCTCCGATCCGCCTCTCACCACGACGAGAAGGCCCCCTCCCGCCGGCAGCAAGGCGCCCTCGCGTCTCCCGGGTCTGAGGCAGCGCGGGCCGCCGGGCAGCGGCACCGGGTGCATGGAAGCGGGAGGAGGCTGCCTGTGGTCAGTCCACCAGTGACCGGGAACCTTTTTTTTGGTGGGGGGAGGTATCCCCACTCTCCACAACATAAATAAGCTCATTTTAGAAAAAAGTGTATATCGCCTCGAAAGCTTCCCAGAATCCCAATTTCAGCAGCATCGCCCTAAAGTGTTTCACAAGAGCCCCAAGAGCTCACGGCTCCGGCGAGCACCCAACCTCTCTCTAGGCAGTGATCCAGCCCCTGGGAGAGTGTGATCGCTCTACTATATTATTTTTTAAATACCATTCTTACCTGGAAGGCCTTACTTAGCATATGTTCACCTTCCTTAGATCCAAGCAAATTTATTATTATTTGTTTACCATATAAATTCTTAAGTGTCCTAAAATGCCTATTAAAGAAAGAAAGAAAATAAGCAAATGTCAAGTGATGAGCTAACTTTTTTCCCAATAAACAAGAATCCATTATTATTCAGAATTTACATTGCAGTACTTTAAACACATAGAACTGGCAAAACTGAATACAAATTCATTCCATGTGGTTTCAAAAACTCTGAATTTATGGGAGTTCAGTGAATGCAAGCTCCTCTCTGCCTGTCAACGCTGAGGCCCCGCTGTGCCAAAGCTGTGGGGTCCGCCAGCCCCTCCCCTCTCTGGGGGCGCAGAGCACAAGCCGCCCGCCTGGCTGGGCAGGCGGCCGGGGCCGAGGGCGGGGCCGTGGCCCACACGCGAGGGCGCCGCACCCCTGTGGGTGCTGAACACAGTACAGCTGAAATATCACTTAGACGGGCAACCAACATACAAAGGGGATACTGATAAGGCGGTGTCAATTTTCCTGCTCTTTTTGGTGCTGATGTTTGAAATCCAGTGTACATTTTACCCTTAGAGCACATCTCGCATTGGACCAGGTAGCTTCCAGCACTCAGCAGCTCCACGTGGCTGGCGGCTGCAGTGCTGGGCGCCACCCGTGGAGGCAGACTGAAGGCTGGGCCCGAGACCCACATGCCTAGGCTGCCCCCGCTGGAAGTCCTAACACTAGGGGCCCCTGTGTTCCAATCAGACTAGGACTCAGAAATGTCACTTAGAGCCAAAAGAGGTAAAGTGAATAGGTAAATACAATTAAACTAGTCTCACTGCTTAGCAATGTCAAAACTTAGAGCACTATGTAAAAATAATAGTCTTACCTGTCAAAAGCAGGTGCATTGGCTTCAAATCCCCTCGACATACGGACGCGGTGAGACCCCACCTAGGACAAGAACAGTATGCTTAGTCACACCAAAGGCCAACATGCGGGTGAAAGATAAATCATTATTTACAACACACGATAACCCATTTGCTGAGCTGAACACACAGTAGTCATATAATTATCATTTATGAAACATCCTCTTAAAAAAACAAGTTCTAGGAATTTCTTTTCCCTTTTACTTTTTAAAATGCAACCTCATAAAAAGAGCTAGCAGTTAGACCATTATGAAATACTTGTAAACAGAAAGTTTTATTCATTAAAAGATATTTTTAAAAGTGCTTTCATATATGATACCTTGTTTAAACTCAAACTACATGCCCTGTGTAAGTCAACAGATACTACTGCCATTTGTGAAATAAAAAGACAAATACAGCCAAGTGAAATAACTTGTCCTCTTAGGTCAACACCCCTAATTCCAAAAAGGATCCCCAAAGCCCTCCTCCTCCAAGCTGTCTGCAGGCGCAGTGTCTACGTCGTCTTTTCCTCTGCTCTGCTAAATGCCCCATTCTCTCCCTGACCCAAAGGCGTGACAAGCCCAAGTGTCGTCTCTGGGAAGAGAGACTTCCCCATGTCCGTCTCACGGCCGCACAGCCAGGGCAAGAGCAGAGTTCGCAGAATCAGAAATTCGGGCGAAGAGAGTGAAACAAGACGGAAAATACCTAACTACTGTGTTTCTTCCGTTTAATAGTTCGAGTGGCAGAGATGAGGCGGCACTGAGAGAGATGCTACAAAGAAACAGAAAAGGGGACCAGACCATTTCTCCGACCTTCACTTTTAAACGCTTCCCTCTGCGACTCTGGTCCCCCAGGATCTACCCTTGCTAACCTGTCAACAAGGTGACTTTCAAGGGGGCATGGGAGGAGAGGAGCCAAGTCGGCTGTGCAGTCTGACAAATAAAGCCAGACAATGCGCCCTAACACACTCATCCAAACCCAGCGGTGAACAACTGTGCTACCCTCCATTCGCGTTCTCCCTTCTGCGCTGCTAAGGGGGACAAGCTAATGACTCTGTCTTGATCAAACGGCACCTTCTCTCTTTAGTACTTTCCAAATAAGAAATTGATTAGACTCATGTCACACCTATATTCAATTTCATTTTATACTGCTTAACAGTCTGTATACAATTTCAAACTTTGAGAGGCATGTGCCCTAGAGCATTAAGCATCCAGCACAGTTCAGCAGAAGCCAATACTTTTCTTCGGTGTGAGCTCAGGCAATTGCCTAGAATTCTATAAAAATCCAAGATTCAGCATTTTATTTATTAGTATTTATTTTGCACAGTCCTCCCAGCTGTCAAGAGGTGATAAAATAGGAGCTCCTAGTTGTGCAGGTACGGCTGGGGGTGTTCCCGCCACTCTGCCCCACCCCCACCCCCACACACCACTCGTTCCGTTGCTCTTACAGCGATGCATTGGTGGGCCAGGCTGTGTTTCATTATTCAGGGTTAAAGAAACCAATTCCACAATAAAAAATTGTTATGTCAATTGTGATAAAAGTAGCACTCCATAAAGTTGTAAGGCTTTAAATAACCATAAATTTACCCAATTGAAAAAAAGTTGCATCAACAATATTTTTAGGAAACCATTTATTTGGGTGATATGAAACATCATTTTCCACCATTATTGTTTCATGCTCACATACCTCTGAAATTTGACCAAAAATTCAGTGTGCAACACTACACCGAGCACAGAGCTCATGATTTACCCTGTTTTAAGGTTAATACAAGTTATAATACAATGTAACAAACAGTATGTCAGAGCAATACTATATACATTATAAATGCTAAACAACTTCAGAGAAAAAACTTGTAAGTAAAACGAGTGAGTTGCCACTCAGGACAAATGGCACAGCACCTCAGGCTAAGGCGCACGGACGCGGCGCCCCCCCCCCGCCCGCCCACGCCAGGGCCTGGCCGCTCAGACGGCACGGCCCTTCCCGGGGCACCGCCCGTCTTGGCGTTCTCGCAGCCCAGGCCGCACGCCTCCTCCAGAATAACGCGCACTGGAAGGTTTCAAGGATTTAACGACGAGCTCAGTGCGGAGTGGAGACTGGAACTCTCTCAATGCAGCCTGAGGGGGCTCCCGAAGGGCAGCGGACCTGACCCTGGGGCGCGGAGGGTCCCTGCTAGGGAAGAGCAAGGCGTGGGGTTGGCCAGGCAGAGGAAGCCATACAAGAAAGCAGTGGCTGCCCGGTCTGATGGGGAGAAGAGAACGCAGAGAAGAACTGCGGTGAGCCAGGGGGAGAACGCCGGGGAGGGTCTTCAGGGCAGGCAGGCACGGGGCCCCCCGGGGGTCAGAGCGGCAGAACGAGCGGGAGAAAGCCGGGGGGGGGGGGGCTGGGTGTCCCGGGGCTGCCTCGCCCGCTCAGGGCGGCTGCTTCCAGGCCGTGGGAGCGGCAGCCTGTGTGGCGGAAGTTCTCCACGTGGCTGGAAGGCAACGTGGTTCAAAATGCAGATTGCTGACCCCATCTAAGAGGTCCTGTTTCAGCCATGGGAAGGCAGAGTCATAAATCAGCATTTTTAAATCATGTTAAGATGATTCTTTTATTATCTTTTAATTAAAAAAACGCATAGGAATTAATCACGGAGGCTGAGAGGCAAGACGAGGGACACGCCCAGGAGCCCCTGTGCCTGGCTGCGGACGGGGGCTCCTCCCTGGCAACCTGACCTGAAGGGTCCCCTGACATACTTAATTCCAGGCCCCAGAAGCCACAGGGCACCTAATAACCGCTTACGGCCACTCTGAGTCAAGAGTTCTTGACTGTCTTCTAAGAGAAAGTTAATTTTTTAAACTTAGGTATTTTTATTTTTAAAAATCAGTATCTGTTTTTCAGGTTTTAACATCCATGATATATTTTCATCCCTCTCTTACCTCCTCTTTTAGAGTAGTGGGGGAAATGACAAAGATGCTCATGAAACTAACCCATTCCTGTTTAAAGAGAGGCCGACCTGCAAAACCGCGGAGCTGCCTCACTGGGAATCACTGATCCAGCCCTGACCCAACCCCTGCCCGCTCCACGGCAACAGGCCGGCCCAGCGGCCGTGAAGCAGATTTGCCGCACTGTCTTGATGTCTCAAAAATTACTTTCTCTATCAAGAAAGGCACAATTTAAAATCTGAAGTTTCCAGCCCCTAATCACCTGGCAGGAGGCAAGCAGGCTCTGGCTGCGCGGCAGGGCAGGCGGCAGAGCCCAGAGGAAGCAGGAGGGAGCCCCGCCCAGGGAGGGTCCAGCCTTACTGAGAGGGCCACGGTGGCCCCGAGCTTCCTGACGGGCGACCAAGGGCAGCCGAACAGGGGCCTCCAAGCGGGCCGGGCGTCAGGCTCTCGTCCCCAGCCTGCCTCCAAAGCCCCAGCGAGCCCTAAAACAGACATCCCAACAGCCGTCCTTCTCTGACCATGGAAGCACGGAAGGAAGGGGTGCAGGCATGGGATTCTCTCCACGAGAGGCCTGGGAGAGACCCAGCTACGAGGCTGCCACCATCTGCCAAAGACAGAGCCCACCCACGCCAGAGCAGGCCTGGCAGGACTCCAGAGTGCCGGCCCCGCGACACAGGGGTTCACGCTTGTTCGCTGGGCTGTCTGCAATAAGCGGCATTACCGAAAAGGGGCGAGCGCTCCGCAGCGGCCCCCACAGCAACCACCCTACGATGGAAGGGAGATCCAGGCCAGGCTGCTGCCTGTCCATTTTCTCAGTACTACAGACTGAAGCACAGAAGTTACTAGGCAGTATTTATTAGATGCCTAAAATGAACGTAACTGACACTTGAGGGACCAACGGATTTTTTATAAAAATAAAATGCAAAATCATACTATTATGGGCAATCCAATATTACGACCTTACATTAGAAATCTTATGCCCTGGCTGGAGTGGCTCAGTCAGTTGGAGCGGGGTCCCACAGACCGAAAGGTCGCGGGTCCGGTCAGGGCGCACGCCCAGGTTATGGACTCGCTCCCCCATCGGGGTGCATACGAGAAGGCAACCAGTTTCTCCCTCACATCGATGTTTCTTTCTCTCTCTGTCTTCCTCTCTCTCTAAAAGCAATGAAAAAGGGCCCTCAGATGAGGATATAAAAAAGCCCCTTATATTTAGACACTTACATCAACAAAGGAAGTTTAAAAAGATCACGAAGAAAGCCAGAGAACACATTAAAGATGGGAGGCCACTGCAAACACAAAGTGAAACTTCAGCAGCAGCAGACACATTATTGACGACGGCGGCAGTGACCTCTCACACAGCGCGGCGCCCGTGGGCCGGGCTCCGGCCTGAGCACTCCCTGTTCCGCCCGTACAGGAACCCTAAGACAGAGGCGCCAAGACAGAGCATCCCCGTCACAGGCAAGAAGGCTGAGGCCCTGAAGCATTAAATCTCTTGCCCGACGTCACACAGCAGTGGTAGTAGAGGGAAAATCCACGCTGAGAAGTCTTTGTTGTAACTACTAGATTTTCCCACCTATGGAGATGAAGTTGTTAGATACTGAGCGAGCACACATGGAAACACTCTGAAAAGCAATGCAGTATGAAAACATCAAATTTTTAATATTAAACACAGCAGCTGAATTTCTATAGATATTTGAAATAATGTTACAGGAAAATATATCTAAGATAAATTGTAAGGACTCTGTACTTACTCCTCTTTTATGATTCTAGCTAATATCAGATTGAGTAACAGAACTATCCAGTGAACTAATAACAATCCTGAAAACTTAAAAAATATGGAAATTTTCAAGAGGGAAACAAAAACAATGTCACACACCTACCTGCAACCCTGGTTGCTCCCAGAACAATGGAACAGATCCCCGGATTTGTATGAAGGAAGAAACAGAGTCATCTAAGTACACAACCTACAGAGAAAAACAGTGTATAAAATATGTCCACAGACAAAGCTGTTCTCTCTACATCAACACACAAACTGACTAACATCTACTGCACGCTAGTTACATCTTCTGATCCATCTCTCATATAAACGCCATCCTAAAAAAAAGTCCAAAACAGGCTACTGGGTAAGTTTGATTTTTCCAACCAGTGAAACTCCTATGCATACAAGGTGGGGTAAAAGTAGGTTTATAGTTGTTCATATGGAAAATAATACAGTAATTGATAAATAATAATACAAGTATAAACTCTGTGTTTTGCAAACTCACAACTATAAACCTACTTTTACCCAACCCTGTACTAACCAGGAAAACATTAAAAAGTATAAGATTCACAACTTTTAAAAAGAATTCCTTTTAAATTTCAACATTTTATACACATACCTCCCCATTTTCACCTAAATTTTTTGTTTAGCATTTTATATTTTTAAAATTAACTTGAAGATCTGAGTTGGGCTGAAGGCATGGGTTAAATTTACAGTTACATAGTTTCATAGCCAAAAATATCCTAACTTTTAATTTTAGATGGTACACATATCTACATGGAAGAGTTAGGATTGGCTTAATTTCACAGAAAACCGCTTTTCTCACGTTGTCTGCTCCATACACGAGGATTTTGGACTCAACGCCGCAGCGTGGGCACTGGCCCGCCAGGCCGATGGACGGGCGCCCGCGCTCAGCGGGAGCCGCACCCAGCGAGGGCGCTTACGGTGGCCTTTCTGAACACCAGCACGCGGCCGGGGGCAACCATAAGCCAACATCGCAGGTGTCAAAAATGGGCTCTGAACCAATTACAGCCTGTTACTCCATCACTCTCTGCGCCTCTCACCCCACGCGTGGCCTCGGCGACGCAACGCGCTGCGCACCTGCTCTGTTTCCACAAAGTTGGCGACGTGCCCGTCGTCGTTGGTCCCGCGGACGTTGAACCGGGTCCCGGCCCGCTCGCAGCTCAGCCGGGAGATGAGGCAGGCCTTCGCCTGCTTGTGGGCGGCGTAGATGGTCCTGATCTCCACTCCGCCGCACATGAGGCGCAGCAGCCAGTCCTCGCAGCGCACCCCGTAGTGCTTGAGGTGCAGGTGCAGGGACTGATTCCTAACGGCAGAAGCGCACGCTGCGTTAGCCCACGGCGCCCAGAGAGCCCCGCGCAAGTTCCGAGGCGGGGCCCCTAGAACCCCAAGCTCATGCCACTTTATTCAAGGGCACCAACGTCAGGCCCACTCACTGATACATGCTGTGCTAGGCAGCGCAGGGCCGGGCTGTGGACCGAGGTCCCTGGGCAGGGGCCTGCGGGCCACGGGAAAGCAGCACATCCTTCATGCTGTATCCATGCCCCGTTTCTCTCGTCTTTTTAAACAATGTATTTATAACCGGCTTTTCCAAAAAGAATTTCATACACATGTCCCCATCCCCACCCCACTTTATAAAGCTCTACTTTCAAGGCCTGACTTTTATAAGGCTCTATTTTAATTCATTTAAATTTAAACAGCTAGGCAGGCTAGTGACTACTGTTTTTGTTTTTTTCTTTAAATTTATCCTCACCTGGGGACTTTTTTCCCCATTGCTCTTAGAGAGAGAGGGAGAGAAGCATCATTTGGTTGCCTCCCATACATGCCCAAACCTGGGATCATACACACCTGGACCAGGGATCAACCTGCAACCTGGGTTTGTGCCCTGACTGGGAACTGAACCCACAACCCTTTCGTAATGGGACGACGCTCCAGCCAACAGAGCCACGCTGGCGAGGGCGTGCCCTCTGTTCTAATGCACGCCTGTTTCCCAGCATCCTGGGGAAAAGATGGGGCCTGGTTTCCACACTTGTTCAGAGCAGGAAGTTTCATTCACACAAACATGCTGATGTGAAAGGCAGCACACGCGCAAAAACGGAGTCCCAGTTGCTGACGCAGGGCCAGGGGTTGGAGCCCTGCCAGGCTGGCCACCTTCTTGTCCCGCTGACCCCTCCTTGGAGACCCCCAAGGAGCCCGTGGAAGCTCCTAACCCACGTGCCACCGAGGAAAACAGACTGCTGTGCAGGGAAACGTCCTCCCTGGTATTTTCCGATAACAAGGGGCCTCGCTCACAAAAGTGGCTCCCCCGTGACGGAAGCGTGGCCCTGTGGTTTATAACCCTCCCACTGTACTAGGTAGAAGTCTCCCCTCAGTGCTCCGCACCGTCTCGCTGTCTGAAAGGGATATCAAAAGCAAGGGCATCGCCTGAAGCTCAGAGTCACTGCTGTCCGTGACGCCCCGCAGGACTGCTAAGGCAGCAGGGCCCACGCCCCTCCGGGACCCGGGCGGCAGGCAAACGAGGCAGAGGCTGGCCGTGGGCAGCTCTGGCAGACCCGCTCCGCTGCCCTTCTCGTCGCCAAGAACGCTCCAGGGAGTCCGTCAGCGTGGGCTCCACTGCCAGAGCAGCAGTGACTCCGATGGCCGTCACCTGTGTTAAAAACGTGACGCCGGGTTCCTTGCTTCGCTGTCGTCTACAGTGACTGAGGCAGAGCTGAGGGCGAGAGAGACTCCGTGCATCCAGAGAGCCCGGGGAGGCCCGTGTGCCAGCAGAGGAGTGGGGGACCTGCTGGCCCCGCTGAGACAGGGTGTGGGACCCTACGCGTTCTTTCAGGCGGATTCTCCCTCCACAGTCAGTTTCCAGTTCTCTTTGCTGTGAATGTACCGCTGTTTTAATTCTATTTAAACTTAGAAACAACTGCAATGGCAGCAGCTTCCACTCTCCAGTGGAGTAAAACGACCAGGATCTTGATAGGTACATGCCATCCTCCGGCTACAAAACTGACTTGGCTGCATCCTGGAAAATATTGCTACTGAGCTGCAGGGAATGTGTGATGAACATGAATTCTTAAAGCTTTCATTTGTCTATGGCTCAAGAATGCCAGTCCTTACCCAAACTGTAAAAAGTGTCAAACTCGCCTTTGCTGTTTGAGCTTCCCTTTGCTCAAGCTGTCTCCTGCTGGGCAAACCCTTCAATCTGTGATCTAAAGTAACCTTTCACTGAATAAAAAGATAAATGAATTGTTGCTGATTAAATTTAGCAAATGTGCTTGATTGCTGATCAATGCATCTGCACCTGCTTGGACTTCTAATATGGAAGGAAAAGTTTTCTGTCTCAGCCCAGGCCTGTGCAGCTCAGTGGGTTGGGCGTTGTTCCACAAAGTGAAAGGTCTTGGGTTCGATCTCCAGTCAGGGAACATGCCTGGGTTGTGGTTCGGTCCCCGGTTGGGGCGTGCACAAGAGGCAACCAACTGATGTTTCTCTCGTATCAATGTTTCTTTCCCTCTCTATTGTTCTCCCTTCCCCTCTGTCTAAAGTCAATAAGCATGTCCTTATTGGAGGATAAAAAAAGTTTTCTCTCTTCATCGAAGGAGCCTGAGATAGAATGAACAGGAGAAAGTAAGGACAGCTGCCCTAGGCCCAGCTGCAACTCCGTTCTTTACCTTTCCCGGGGCTCCGATGTCTTCTCCATCAGAAAAACACAGGCTGACGTGAGCACCCAGGTTCCGCCCCCCGCCCCCCCGCCCCCCATCTCCCCTTTCCTCCCTCTCTGCTGGGTGGGCTCCGAGTCTAGGCCTCCGCTCCGCCCTCCCCGCTCCCCCAGGGCACTGCTCTGCGCCAGGGAACTTCCATGTGGGCGACAAGGTGGCACAGCTCTCGCTCTGAAGTCAGCCTCTCTCCCAGGGTGGTGGCTGACCTTGAGCCTCAGACACCCAAGGCAAGTGGGTCCAGCCTGAGTGTGCCGTCGGGGACCAGATGGGCCGCAGGGCAGGCAAGGGAGGGGAAGGGTGCAGGAGGGGACCCTGGACTGAACTGCTGAGGGAGGCCCAGAGCAGAGCCCTGGACTGTGGCCTTGTAACAGATGTAACCACACAGTCACGTAATCCGTGTGTGCCGTTGAGAGAAGGAAGGCGGCACTGACGCCGGCTGCTGGCGAGAGAAAAGCACGCAAACCCGGCTCCGCTCCGGTGCCGTGGTCAGACGAGGGGCGCGCATGTGCTCCCAGCCGCGCGCCCGCAGCCCCTGTGCGCGATGATCGCGAGCGAGTCGTGGTTTTGCCGACTCGAGCCTTATTTATGGCAGCGCAAACTTCACCCCAGCAGGCTGTCCCCTCACAGCCTGCTGAGTCAAGGCCATCTACTGAGGGCAACTAAAGTTAAACATAACCGGGGAATGTTGGCTTAGAAAGGCGATATGGTCGGGGACAAGATCTCAAAACTAAGAGAAAATAGGAATAACGCAATTCTGTTACAACTAATGCACTGCTGATTTCAAAATGGAGATTTTGAAATACATTTCTGACATGAAACGTCGTTGAGATCAAGGAAAGCAAACGGGTTTCTCGTCACTGACAACCTCCACCACGTGACCGGCGGACGCCTGCCCTGCGGAGGGCCTGGCGCAGCACAGAGCATGCAGCTGTGCTCAACCAGCAAGGCCGTGCTGTCTCGGGACAGAACTGCTGAGCCCGCCATGTCCCACTTCACCAGGCTGTGGCAACAACGGGGAAAAGGCCACACGGACTCACCAGAAAAACCTGTTGTCAGTCGTCTGCTCTTGCATGCTGCGATGTGCATTGAGACTCAGATCTAAACTGACCCCAGATGCAGACCATGCAAAATAAAAGTTTCCTGAATTCAAAACTTTCCGCACTTCTGAAATGCGATCCTCATCTGAAGAGTCCATTCGTAGCGATATAAATTCAGTGGCGGTAACTCGGAAAACTTCAGACTCTTGAATTTTTCCAACAGACATGCATCCAGTGACTAGGACCAGATAATGTAACATGGTGTCACCTGCAAAAGTCAAAGATGTATCTAAGTGGATGAAAAGTTCCAATATTTCTCAAGCTATTCAAAATTTCTTCCAGCTGACTTCTCTTGTCTCCAGGTTTTTAAATCTGATGTCGTGGGTATTTTACTCACCATGGACGTGTTTATGTTCACAACTAGATTTTGGCAAAAGTTGAAGAAATCCTTGTTTAAATACATTTAGAGTAACAAAGCATTTAAACACTAACAGAACAATCTCATATTTATGAAATTGTGCCTCTACTTAATCTGAGGGTGTACAAAGTTTATCACATTTTAAAAATGCGCTGCCATCCCTGCCTTTGCTCCGTGACTGTTGGGAAGTTCAGGAAAGACCATGAATGTGAGAGTTCTTGGTAACCAGTCACACAGAAAAAGCAGGGTTAAACGTGGGCTGCTGCTGCTGCTATGGGGGCAAAGAATACACGGTAACAACTTTTAAAGAAATTTCATTTACAAAAAATTTCAGAGAGACTTTTGCCCAGAATCCTGTGAGGTCAGCAAGGCGGCGGAAGGCGGTGCTGTGAGCGCGGGCCTCGCCGAGGCGGACGCCACCTGAGGCGCGGCCCTGGTGACACAGCCACGGCGAGGCGCTCCTGTGCCCTGGAGCACAAGGAGTCCCCGGCCCGGAGGGCCACCTACACAACGCTAGTTCCACACCCGGGCACGTGACAGCCTCGCGGCAAACGGCAAACCCCCACTTCACAGGCTGGCGCTCCTCCGAGGAGGGTCCCCCGACTGCCACGGGCTCACAGGGAGAACAGGCGCGTGTTCCAGAGCGGAAAGCCGCCGCGTCGTGCGGCTGAGCTGTTTCCCAGAGCACGACGCCGTCAGCGACGGAGGCCACTGCGGGCCGGCCCCGCAGCGCGGGCTCCCCGGCTCCTCACAGGCCTCTAAGGAGGCAGCTCGCCGAGCAGCACCGGCAGTTGGGCCACACTCGCCACACCGCCACAGACGGTCCCACTGGTGATCCAGAAGCTCCTCTGCCACCCACCGTGACAGTAAGTGGCAAAGGCAGACTCAAACTGAGGCCTTCTGAACACAAACGAGGTGTCTTCCCCACGACACGCCAGGGAAACCAGCGTGGCTCCCACTGAGACGTCTTTTCCCGGATGCACCGAGGCAACAGGCTAGGTGGGCGACCTGCGCCCCCGACCCCACGCGGCACCGCCTCCGGGGCTCAGGGCCACGGGCCGGCTGTCACCCTGCCCTTTTGGTCAACAAGCGTTATCCCAAGATTAGCTTAATCGAGGTTTAAAAGATGTCACCACACTTACAGGTCACATAAGGAGCGTTAAATTATTTTCTCTTGCAAATCCTTAGAATTACAAAACAGAAATAAAAAATAAATTAATCATGTTGAGTAATAAACTCACCAAGATTTAACCGTAGAACACCGAGGAGCCCATACGCGTCCAGCACTTTGGAGTATGTACCCTTGATTGCCTCTTTTTCTGCAGAAGCTACAAAAAAAGTTTTAGGGTAAGAAATATGACCTGAAGAATCAGATTCTATTTAGCTATAAAGTCAGAGTTTTAACCAAAAATTTCTAAATCTAAATCTGATATTATTAACAAATATAATGCATATTTTCTCAAGCTAGTAATTTAATTGTTCTTCCCAAAGAGTTAACCAATGTTCTAGCACGGTCTACTAATCCAGCCTTTCCCACTGGTCTGAAGTGCTATTACCTTTAATAATACTGATGCTTTGGGGTTGTGTTTGGATTTCCTTTCCTCCCCCACTGACCTGTTTGACCGTTCTTACTGCTAGGAACTCACTGCTCTGATATCCCTCACAGGATAACACCAGCTCCTTAACGAGGGACCTTTTAGAATCTGGCCTCAACACACTCTTTCTATTTCGTTTTCCATCACAGGCCCCCACCCCCTTGTACCCTGGGCGCAGCCACACAACACTCGCTATTGCCCGAAGACGCACTTGTACGTTTCTGCGCCCTTGTGCAGCGATCTAGCCTCCTGCCTGCAAGGCGCGGCCCGGTCTCTGCTTCTGGGCACAATTCTATTCACCAGATAAAGACTCAGGCAGAACGTTATTTCTAGAAGACTTTCTTTACTTCCCCAGCTCGGCTCTTTCGCAGAGCTCCCTCTTCACGTCAGCGAAGCGCTTTCTGCATCCTCATCGCCTGCCCTTCCCAGCAGCCAGCCTGTCCCTACAGGTAGGAAACCCCGACCTCCTCATCTCGCTTTCATTCTCGATGCCTAGGCTGAGGCTTGACACGCAGAAGACTGACCAAACATTTAAACAATGAAAGCTAATGAATACACATTTTAGCACAGGAACAGGAAGCCTTGATTTATTTCTTCTGCAGTAAAATTAATGTTATCTTGCTGATGAATATAACCGATAGAGTAATTTCCCTAGGGCACACTATTGTGGTTGTTCTAGTAAGAAAAAAAAACCAACACAAATTCTGAAACACAAAAGGAAAAATCTTCCTAGTTCTTACAAATACACTTACCAAAAATTTGACAAAGAACCAAAGAAATACAAACCACGGCTAGCGTCTCAGCGGACAACGGTAAGTCGCACCTGCTAGAGTTTACACACCCACAAAGGCAGGGACCCCTGCTCGCTCTGCCCCCTCCGTCCAAGTTCTTCCCTTCCCCACCCCCCACGCACCCCCAACCCCGCCGACCGGGCCCCCCCGCCCCCCCACCGCCCTCATCCCTCTGGGCACAGAAGAGGCTGCAGCGGGCGGCTGCCCGCAGCCCAGCAGCACAGAGCGTGCGGCCGGCCACTGCCTGGCCACTCAACGGCCCACAGAAGCACCCTCTGCTCGCCCGCCGCTCCTCAGTCCTCCGCGTGGAGAGCAGTCCCTTTGCCCCGAGGCTCTGCTCCGGAGTCTCCAGCTCATCCCTTTCCCTGCCTGCGGCACCTCTCTCAGCCCACCCACCCGGAAGCCCCCTGCCCAGCTGTCCTGCTCCCGTGTCCCAACGGGTTGTGCTCTGCTGTTTGGTGGCATGGGCTGAGACTAAGTGACACAACTCCTCTCTCCATTAGCTGATACTTCCACAACTTCCCGGCCTGTTCATCGTGAAGGCAGGCCTTCAGCTTTCTCACGCCGTGTGGGCGTACGGAGTGGGGCTGTTTCACCCGGCCGTTCCTTACGGGCATCTGTTTCCTTCTGCGTTCCCGTAGTTCCTTTATTATGATTACTACGACACCGTATGTTTATAGAACAGTTACTGCTAAGGTTCAGTGACAAGCCACAAGAATATAAAACGTCACAACATAAATGTTAATTATATTTTATAAAGGATTGTCTACCCCTAAAATGTTAGGAGACTTGTTACATCTCTGATGATTGAAAACATGCCTCCCAGGGCAAATATCATTCCAGAGTTTGACAGGTTTCATGTAATGTGTATTTAAATGCCATCGCTAATGCAGTAATCTAGACGTTACTAGATGAGTCAGTTTCAGCAGCGATCAACATTTGGGTTCAAATACCAGCAGCTGGTACTACTAGTTAGAAAGGAAATATATTTTTAATATTAAATTGTCACCTTCCCTTAGAAAACAAAAAAATTACTTTATAACTTAAATTACCGTGCAACAAAATGTTCTCTCTTCCAATACGGCATAGCAGTTGCCTTTTTACTGGCTGCGCTCCAAATGTATGACTAGGTCATGTCTTGCCGGCCCGAGGAAGACCTGCCTGTCAGGCTGTCGCCAGAGTGAAACAGGCACACATATGCCAGGCTGCCTGGGGGCCTCCATCCGCTGCGCCACCCTGAGGCTCAGGCACAGGAAGGTCGCAGGGCGCACACTCTCAGATCGAGCCCGCTGATGGAAGGGCAAGGAGCTGACCTGTCCCCGGGGCGCCATCTTCCCAGCCAGGGCTTTTCCCCTCCAAACAGCGCGCCGTTTTTAGAGTGGGCGACGATGCTTCGGCCGAGGCGCGTGTCCGGGTTGTTTCTGGGGTGAGGGTGGCACTCACCGGCGCCGGGTTTGGTGTTTTTCACGCCATCACTCCATTTTCACAACAACCCCATGAGCAAAATGACTACTCCCACTTGGCATGTGAGGAAGCTAAACTTAGAGAGGCCACGAACTTTACCTAAACACCTTCAGATCAGATGCAGGTTTGCGAAGAGCTCACTCGGGCCGCCCCACACCTCCCCGCGGCTCCCCCCTCCCGTGTCCCCTCTGGAGGACCCCCTGGCCGTCTCCCCACAGCTACCCTCCCTTCAACGCCCAGCTCCAGTGCCGCTTCCCTCCAGCCGCTGCCGGGCACCCGGCTGGAGCTGCAGCTCGCTCTCCGGTCCGGTCTGTGCCACAGGCCCTGGCGTGCTCATGGCCCCGGAAACCACATCCCATTTCTTCATGTTTCTTCACGACTGAAGGCAGACTAACCTACGTTTCCTATTTCAGCTGCAGGAGTTTAATGAAAATAGAAGCTATAGAGATGGCCTATTTATAGATGATAGAGAACACTCCAGAGTATGAACATATCCACTGTCCTCGACCGAAGCCCAACAGACTGACTGTCGTCTCCCGTGGCGGCAGACACCCATCTTGGCTGCCGCGGCTCATTGTTCCAGCTCTGTCCTAAGACATGGCCGCGACTCAGCGCTGCTGGCGCTTCCCCTCCCCTCTCAGATGAGCACTCAGGGCCAACAGGGAAGCCTAAGATCAGACCACGGAAATGCAGGTGAAAACAGAATCACACCCCTACTTCCTGATTTTCCTGACTTGTCTCTACTGTGGAGGCTTAGGAAACAGTAGCTGTCAGGTGGCGGCCACACCTGCGTCACCCGCGCCATCTGAACGGCAGGAAGCAAACCTAACTGCCTGCTGAGACCGTCAGATCATCTAAAAGCTATTTGTCATTTAACTTAAACGGTATTCTGAGGATGAAATTCAAATGTGAATTTCTCAAGCTTCTGACGAATTACAACTCAAACTAAATAAGAAGCTACGCAATGGAGAGCCCGCTGGCCAACCAGTGTCCACATCCTGCCGTGGCTCAGACCCTCCAGATGTGGAACTGGCCGCCTTCCTCCAGCTGACGCGGAAGAGAAAGTTAACGAGAATGTGGAAACGAGATCGCTGAGGAGCGCGCAGCCTCCTAGAATAGCGATTTGCCTGTGGTTGCAGCCTGCGGTCAGCTGCTTTGCATGCAGCAGCACTCAGTGCACGCCCAGGGGGGCCCCGGGCGGCGGCCGAGAGCCGGCAGGGCAAGCCGCTCGTCCTCAGAGGGCAAGGAGGAAAGCCGTTTTCCGTCTCCTCGTAAACAGAGGGAAGAATTATTTTACAAGGAAAAGGTTTTCTTTGTATAATTAAGTAATTAAAATTCCAGCCAAAAGAAATGAAGCATTCAAATTAATGTTCCACTTAAACTACACATTTCAATCTTGGTGACAAGTCAAAACAAAAACGACCTTTCACTCGTTCATGCAACAAGTATTTGCTGAATGCCAACATGTACCTGGGCCCAGCAACAAGACGTCAGTGCCCAATACCTCCTGTTAGGAAGACAGGCATTCTATAATCATACAAATGCAAAAGTGTAAATTATGGCAGGTGTTATGACGGCGTTCCCAGAGACAGCAACAACCTAATTTAAAATTCTGCAGAAGTGACCTTTCAGCTGAAACCTGAAGAACTGACAGGAAGTTAGCCGAATGAAAAATGGAGGTGAAAGAGTTCCAGGGAACAGACTCATAAATGCACCCAGTAGGACTGTGTACTACGAGCACCGACAGACGTGTCCGAGGGTGTTCACAGTAGGTCGCTCACAGTGGGAAACGCGGGAAACAAAGCGAACGTCCACGGAGCAGCCACCGGAAGCTCTCCATGACGGCACGCCGCCCAGCCCCAGCCCCCCCCCCCCGGGGTTGGCCACTGCCACGTGCCGCACCACGGGCAGCCTCCGTGTGGACGCTGCGAGACTGCGCCGGACTCAGCGAGCACAGACGCAATGACCCCACTTCTGCCAAGTTCAAACCCAGGTAGAACTAATTTGCAAGGTAAAAAGTCAGGGCAGTGACTATCTTTGTGGGTCACAGTGGAGACAGCTGAGAAGGGCCACGAGGGAATCTTCTGGGTAGCTAGCAGTGATGTCCTATCTCTCAACCTGGTGCTGGAGCGTGGCTATGTTCACTGTAACAGTCCATCCAGTTGTACATTTGGTAGGTTCTAACCCCGTATCTCAGTATGAAAAAAAGCTGGATTTCGACTGCATCATCCAAAATAAATAGCTATTCTACCCAGCTTTGTATCAATCCACACAACTCTGCAACATTTACCAATCTGATAATTACACTTTCTACCCAGCTCTTCAAGAAAATGATGAAACTGTTTAACTATAGGCCAAGGACATGACCGATGCTGACCAAGGACAGGCCGCTAACAAGCACTAGGGCACGGCCTCCAAGCACTGACTCAGGTATGAGGTGCATCCTGCCTGCGCCCCGCACGTGGTCTGCGGGGCGGT